TTCTATTTATGTTCTTATAAGGCATCCACACACCGTATACAGTGGAGATGTCATAGAATTTGGATTCCCATAGCAGCTGTTGAAGCTTCCCTCTGGTCGGCCTCAAATCTGTTTCCTCTTCTTCTTGCAGAGTCTGAGTAACATATGCCAAGGCCAGACGGTTGTGATGTCTCTCCTCCTGAGGGCAGATTTCACCAATCATGTCTCAGTGTATTTAATAAAGGAGTCAGGCTATTAGATTAGGTTGCTGCTGCTGTGCCTACCTCACTGCTCAAATCTTGGATTAAGAACTCAAGATACAAAACCAGCGCCAGTGGGTACTTCTCCAAGCAAACAAGGACGTTTTGTGTCTCCAGTCGATCATCTGGTGGACGCTTGGTGAAAATCTGCACACCTATCTTTTTCAAATAAAGGAAAACTTGTTTTTGGTGATTTAATAACCAATAATTGCCCCATAATCAAAGCAATTGAGTTAATGTGGTGGAGTGGGTCGCACTTTACAGTGTGTTTATATCTGAAACACATAATTGTATTGTGCAACTCTGCCCTCTGCAGTCAAGTTGAGAGCATGAAAAATGAAAAAAGCACCTCTTGGTTTCTTTGCAGAGTCCAGTCTGCAAATGTCCATACAGCATCTCTGTCTTCCAGCTGACTCAGAGTCCACACTATATGGCCATATACATCTGAGCAAGAGGGGTCCTTGTTGGGGCCCTCTGCAATCTTCACCCAAGTCTGGAAGGACGTAACAGGCTATAGCATGAAACATTTCTACATGTAGGTAGTGTGAAAGTATGGAGTTTTGGGGGAATGATACCTTTATTGCATCAGTTTGCTTCCCATGACTTTGATACAGGGAACCTAAAGCAAAAAATCTGAAAGATCAAGAAGCAGCAAATGGTCTGTTAGAAATTGTCTCGTAAATTATCATGATTTATAAGTGTGGTCACAAATCATGTATGTGAAAAACAATCTTTATTTTCACCTGCTGTGTTTCTCCAGAACAGGAACACAATGATCCAGGCTGCATTCGTTGGTAAATGTCACAAGCTGCTGCAGATTTTCACTGTCTCCCAGTTCTGCATACAGCCACAGGAGGGCGCAGTCCACCTCCGTAGCACACTTCAGGTCCTGCTCCGTCCCTCTGACTGCTCTGAGAAAATCTCCCAGGAAGGCCAAGTAATGATGAAATGTGTCTCTTTCCTCTTGCCAGAGCACCTGGAGATCCCTGCCCTTGTTCACTCGGTCAAGCCGGGACTGAAAGTCCTCGCTGAGACACGACTGCATGTCTGGGTAGAGGCGGATGATTTCTCTGGGGTCCAACTCACCTTTACTGCTCAAGTGAGAAATGAGTATTGATTTATGTCAGACAAAATTCACATATAGCACAGTTTACTGTAATTTATATTTCATTTTTTTGAATTTTGAGTGTTAGGGGGTTTTACTCTCACATGAATAGATCTCTGGCCTCAGAAAAACCCTCCTGGTAAAAATGAACAAATCCAGCCAAGCAAGCGATGGCCTTCTGCAGCTCCTGACAGTAAAAAAAAAATACTCAGGCATACATGACATGGAACAATATTTAATGCACCAATATGTGAGCTGAGGCAAAGGAATGCCCTTAAATCTCAAGGGCAATATTTTACACTTCAAAAAGCACAAAACACAAAAAAAATGACTAATGGCTCATCAGCATATTAATTCTAACATGTTCACCTCTAAACTGTAACCTGAGATATGGCACAGATTAGACTAAATCTCAGGCACCATCTGCTGTCCTCAATTGCATTCATCCAACTGGAATACACCTAGAGTAGCAGTTCACAATAATGTAGCCTGGACGTCCTGCTGCAATCTGTTCTACAGTGATGGAATATTAAATTCAAACGCTTCAATACAATGTCAGCTGGGGCTCTAATGCATACATGTTATCTACACATTAGTGCTGAGTATTATCTACAGTATGAAATGATGAAATTATGAAGCAAACCGCTAGACAGCAGGAAATGGTCATCAGCTACAGTGTTTACTGCTGATTCGCAAATGTTAGCATGCTAGCATTTGCTAATTCGCAGTAAACATGCTGGACTGAGACAGTGACCCTGGTTTACATTATGCCCTTTTAACATCAGGATGTTAGCATTGTTATAGTGACTGTGTTGACATGCTAAAGTGAGCATGCTACACTCTTCTATAGTCATGTTTCCTCTGTTTTCCTTTTTTTCTTTTTCTTTTCAAAAGATTTAGGAAAAAAACATTTTATAAGGTAAAACATCTGTCTGAAAAGTCTGGTATAGACCAGATATACAGTATATTTACTGTGGCAGGTTGTATTGTGTTTTTACATGATTAAATTAAAGAAAGGAGAAATAAAAGCAACTGGCGATGTAGTTATTCCCTAAAAGTTCTTTTTGTAACCTTTGAGAAGAAGAACTTCTTTGTTAAGAGACGGATTTCAAAGCAGGGACATGTTTGCACCATGCTGTATGACTACAATTTTCATTTCACCTTGTATGAGTCAAGTGGACAACGGCTTTGAACTCCATCCAGCAGTAGTAATGCCTCCTCGACCCTCTCTTGTCCTACAAGTGCCTGGATCTGCTCTTCGAATGGCACCAGACTCAGGCTGAAAATGTTTCTCTCTGTGAACACTAACACGCCATCTGAGGGGAGATTTGTTTTTTGGTTTCAGTGTGTAAAGAACAGTAGGTGCAAGAATGATTGAATGAATAAGTGCAAACAGACTTTTTAAAACAAAAGTACAGTTTGGCAGGCTCTGTGTCTACAATCTGCAAGGATTAGGTGGTGAGGCTGGTTTACCTGATGTGGAGAGCAGACCCTTCGCTCCATGGAGACTCACAGTCTGTTTGCACTGCTGATCTAACATGCTGTAGACAGACAACACTTGAGGCTGCAGGGTGAGGATGTAAGGGAAACATACTCCGGCTGCCAGCACCTCCAGAGGCCACTGCAGGGGAGGGCGCTGGCAAATCCCTGTCTTCATCACAAACATGCCTGAGGGATGAGGATGGAGAAGTGATATCTTGGCAAAACAAATATCCTCTGGCTAGATGAATATATGGGGGAGTGATATGAGATTATTAACTGTATAGCTGCTTTGGAAAGGAAGCATATATGACACATGGAGATGTCTGTGCTCAACAGCATGTAGAACAACATGTACCATAAACATTTTGGCAGCTCTTACCCAAAGATTCAGGCCCATTCAGGAGGAATTCCCCTCGTCCCACTGAGGTAACAATGACGCGCTGCCTGTTGCGACTGTGGGGAAAAAGCTCCTCTGTGTTCCCAGTTTTGACATCACAGAGGAGATACCTGTCGCAGGTAGCTACACACAGACTGATGCCATCTACTGCCAAGGCCACAGGATCCTGAAGCAGAGGGACTTCCTTCACAACCTCCCACCTGTCCACTCCCACCACGTGGACCCGGATCACCTTCCTGCGGCTGGAGGAAGTCACCATCTCCACACATTCTGCCTGAGCTGTGAGCGATGAGTCACACACCTCAAACAAAGACACATGCTGGATTTTCTTTAAAGCAGGAACAGGTTCTAAGGAGAACATGTTGAGGGCAGTAACGCTCCGGTCCCAGAGGACCAGCAGATGGTTGAAAAGTGGGACTACCCTCAGTTGGGCAACTGGGTTGCTTGAGCCTAGTTTCCTTGCCCTACCTTCTCTGGTTTTGCTTTGTCCTGGACTCAGATCTCCATTTGTGCTGCTTGGTAGGATGAGGTGCTGGACTGTTGCATATTTGGTCCCCATATACACATTTCGATCGTAGCACTCAAGGCATTCAATGCTGAATTTGTCCTTTTCTTTTGGGGCTTCTTGCCTTTCATAGACATGTGTTTGTGTGAATGCTTTGAAAGCCATTGCAGAAATGTATTAATGTTTTACTCTGGTTGTGCAACTCACATCAAGTGCTACTCAAGTAATAGCTCACCAGCAAGCAGAGAAGTTCCTCAGAAGTAATACTTTTCACTGTGAAAAGTCTTTACAGAAGGTATCTGCCTAAATCAAAGCCACAGCTCTACTTCAGTGAAATATGTAAAATAAGATGTCCCTACCTCTCTGCTGCTCCCCCTTACTCTTTGATTCCTCCACAGCTTTATGAAGTGTAAAGTAGTTCCACCTCCCCATGTGACTACATCCTGACAGGAAATCTATGTCAGCACTTTACGCCGCTCATCCTGCCATGTGAGGACACTTACACAACTCATCCAGCTGCCTCACCAAGAAAACCAACTTTTACAAGTATCAAAACATTAGGTATGGCAGAGAAGACGGATATTTTGAGGTGCCCACAGTTACGGTCACTTGTATTCTTGGCTTGTGAAAGAATACAAGTGGTGGCTTTGGTCAGTGGATAATGGACAAGTAGAAGAGCAAGTGATCTGCTGATCAAACCTTATATGGTCGCTCTTAGTTTGTTTACAATGGGCAATAAGCTGGGTGCTATGAGGTCAAGCGGCAACAGAAACACAGCAGACGTTTGTTTTATAGCGAAGGGTGACTGACAGGGGACAATATGGTCATAAAAACGATCTGGATTTTAAACCTACCATCACAGCTATATTTGTTGTTCTGAACTTTGTGTCTTCTGTCCTTCTGTACAAAGGAATTTCATATAAAGAAACATATGCACTCTCGTCCTCTGGATGGCATCATTGGAGTAAATAAAACATTAGGAACAGCAGGCACTAAAATGATATCCATCTCTGTGTGATGTATACAGAGTGGTGTTTATTGGAACAAGTATGAGGGAAGCATAAATCATGCATATTTTTCCTCAGTGTGAATAATGTTTCCATCAAACAAATATGCACTTAGCATAGAGAAATAGAAATAACATGTAAAATGAAAGTCAGACCAGGGCTACAACTAACCTTTATTTTCATTAACAATCTGCTTATTATTTTCTAAATTAATCTTGGTTTCCATAAAATGTCAGAAAATATAATATATCATTTTTTTCCTAAAGTTACATCCACAGATTGCTTGTTGTATTTGATCAACAGACAAAAACCAAAAAGATATTTTGTTTTTGTTAAATCGTATTTCCCGATAAGTTGAAACCAAGCATTTAGAGTTTTTGCATGAAAAACAACTAATGAATTATAAAAGTAGAATTAATTTTCTGTCAATTCACTAATCCACTACTTGACAAGTCACCCTCAGCTCTAATATGTCAAAAGTAAGAAGTAGTAAGAAGTATGCGAGGAAAAAAGAAACAAAGCAACATTCATCAATAACGGCACATATGGCGCCCTAATTTTAAATATACATGTGTGGCAGAGTTAGAGGACTAATGGTCATTTATAACAACAAAACAAGCATTTGACATTCAGCGTTTGTTTATGCATCAGACATGCTAAGAAGAAATATTCACAGGTCTACAGTATCTGTATCAGAATATGAAACCTCTGTTGTTATTTGGATTAAGCTGTGACCCCTCATTGGAAAGGTCACTTCTCCCTGCCGCAGTCGGTGCACAAGATGTTGTCACGCTGGGTGAGGAAGCCACGTCCTACCAGCGACATGGCGCACTGCACGCAGGTGAAACACTCGCTGTGCCACTGGCGCTCCTCGAACGAGATGTACTTGGCCCCTGCCAGACCTGCACACATCAAACATAGGTATTTACATAATGTTCAGGTTAATGCAAGATCTTCACCTTGTTTGTTTGACAGTTCTTACACAAATGCAAATAAAGGCATTAAATCTGAGCGGGACAGATGCATGAGCGGTGTCTGAGTGAATGAAAACATGAGCACACAACCAGTGACTCACTGGTGATGGGCTTGGTGCAGCCCACACACTTCTTTGCGTACAGGTTGCTGAAGCATTCGAGGCAATAGGGGTAGTTCTCCCTTGAGGTGAAGCGCTGACCCGACAGCTGCTTTCTACAGCCGATGCATAGGAAGCAATCGCGGTGCCAGGGCTTGTCTTGATAGGTCACTCCACCTGTTGTGATGGCCTAAAGGTAACACACAGACACACACCGAGAGACACATAATGACATTCTTCTCAATATGCATCCCTTTACTACACAGTCACAGCCTGAGTCATGTTAAAACACCAGGGTCAGGGGGATTGATTGCAGCAGTCAACATGCCCAGAGAGAACACTCAGCTGTAACACTACCTTCTTACAAGCACAGCACTGGTAGGCAAACTGCTTCTCGAAGCAGGGCACACAGAAGTAGCCGGTGTCTTTGGGGATGAAGGACTTGGTTCCTATTGGCTGCTGGCAGCGGTGGCACAGGAAGCAGGTCTCATGCCAGCTGTTCCCCTTGTATTCCATTTTGCGGGAACCTGGCACAGGGGACGAGAGCAGCTTAGTCAGCATATGGTACCTCCATGACAGAAACACACTGCGGCCCAAAATAGTCCTGCTTTATCTGTAGGGAGGGGACGATGCTGTCTTAATAATCTTGGAAAGCCTTTTGGGAGTGAAGGAAACTGCATTGCTGTCTAGTGTATTATATGAGCTTTATAGTTTTCATTTTTACATCCATGCACATCACTATAGATAAGCGTTAATTATTACATCATTTCTGATCAAACAATCTCACCAGAAAATCCATTGACTGGCTGTGAACTTTCAATTGTGTCACATGATCCCTGTTTGCAGATGCCTAGTTATCACGATATTGCAGATGTTCAAATTTCTATTCCTCTGAGAATTTATTTTCATCCATCTTTACTTAAAAGTTGAGACTGAAAGTTTGCTCTTGGTTTTAGAAAAAGTGGATTTGTCAAAACAATCGAACCACACGGTTTGTTTAGAAGCTGTTCTGGAGCTTTCAATCATATCACCAACAGCAGATGGAGTTTGCCCATTTGTGGACATTCAAAATCATCTTCTATCTTCAATCTCTATTTCATTCAATCTCAAGGCCAGCATGGACGAGAAGGTCTTTAAAATGTTCAGAAAAATGCAAATGTGATACTCCATGTCAACTGGACAAACTCCATCTGCTGAGAAAGACTGTGTGATATGATTGAAAGCTCCAGAGCAGCTACTAAATGGACCATGATGATAGATTATTTTGTTTTAAAACAAACTTGATTTTCTTTCATTTCTGGTATCATCATCATTATCATCACTGGCTGGACAATAAACCACATTATTGTACTACTGATAATATGGATTGAACGGTTCATACTTTAATTAAAGGAATAATTTGACATTTTTTGGAAGTTTGTTTCTTTCCGTCCTTCTTCTTTCTCTCTCTCTCTCTCCTACAGAACTGATCAGTTTGCTCAGATAGGCTCCATGGAGCTGGTGACGCCCAGGTTTCCATTTTGGAAAGTTTGATAGATCAGTCTTGAATTGGAGACAGCGGCAGAGTGAATGACTGAAAGCTCCAGGACAGCTACTAAATGGACCTTGTGGTGAGATAGTTTTGCATTCAACATTTCAAAGGTCAAGAATGAACTTGCAATCTCAATTTAATGTGATCAAAACAAAAGTGACAGTTTGTGTACCTGGCATGACGGTTTTCTTGCAGGTGGTACACTTGGAGGAGTAATCATGGGCGTAGCATTCAGTGCACAATAACAAATCATCCTTGGCGGCAAAGGCCTTCTCCACCAGAGAGCGGCTGCACTTGGCACACTTGAAGCACTGCTCGTGCCAATGGCGATCCTTATAGGACAAATCCTGTATAATATTTAACACATTATTTATCGCACTTGTTGTTATTCTGCAAGGTGAAGAAATAAATGGTTAGAAATAATTATGTTGGAATAACAACAGTAGCAATGATACGTTGGTGTTTTATATGGTCAACGTTAGCCAAAATGTGATCATAATATTAAATAAATATATCAAATGTTTCTCACCTTCAGATCAGAAACATTACATACATTCTTATCTTAGACATTGGTGATATCAGAGCCATTTCTCTTAGGGCAACACTGATGCTTCCTTACCTTGCAATTACAGCCAATTGGTGAAGAGCATCCCTCACAGCAGTTAGCGAACAGGTTCTCATAGCACTTAGTGCAGTACTGCGTGTCCTCTTTCATTATGTACTTCTTCCCCAGCAGGGAGTCTTTGCAGTAATGGCAGTCGAAACGCTCACTGGTGGACATTGTTATTTGCTTTTCTTAGCTGCAGGTCAAAGAGAGCAGGAGGAGCAAAACTGGACAATAAAGAAGAAAATGGAGAGATGGAAAATGCGCTTTAATGGTCCAGCCAATTTCTTACCCCTCTCATCAACCAAGTAAAGAGAACAAGCAATTTTTTTCTCTTCTTTCAAAAGAATCTGTAAAAAAAAAAAAAAAAAGAAGGAGTGTTGTATTGAGGAACTCTCTACCTCGGCTGTAATGGGGCGAGGATGAGGCTGAAGCTGGGGGCTGCAGAGAGAGAGCGGTCCAGGCACAGCGATAGGGCAGGGATGAAAGGGGGTGAGGCAGGATTAGGGGGTATCCACTGGGGGGGATCTTCTATAAATACTGGCCCTCTTATTAGCGATAATCTCTGGGGAGAATGGACATGCTCCACTACATCCTTCTGCACCTTTTAAGGGAGATGATGGTGCACAGAACACTAAGCCTTTGAACTGATTTAATCATTGTTGCTTCATCTCAAAAATGCGGAAAAAACGATGATGCATATGCAGTTTGATGACTAGAAGATAAATTATTGTCGGGCAACATGAGAATCTTCAGTGCAACTAATGCCAAGGCCAAACAATTTGATCAATTTCACACACACACACACACTCAGTAAAAGATTAGATTTAAGCTTAAAAGGTGCAAAATCACACATTTTGACACATTGTATCTTTGGATATAGCAAACACAGTTGACCATTTGGATGCTGTGACGTGTCTGGACACACTTGTGGCCTTTGTCAGTGCCTGCTACACACACAAGCAGTTGCAGATGGCTTATGAGAGGTAGGCGCCAGCAGCTTTGTGGTTGCCAGGTACTGAACTATATTGCCAGGACCTCTCAGTGGCTATTGAGAGTGCCTTGGCAGCACTTCAGAAGGGGAAAGCTGCAGGCCTGTGGATGTTCAATCCATCCACGGCAAAATAAAGGAGGAGCAGAAATGACAGCTTAATGGTGACCATCTTGTTGATAGCAATACTCTTGTAACCTCATTAAAAACCCACTCTTAGTGCGATGCTGTGGAAAAAAAGCTCCCTAGCTATGGTGCCCTGCCCATATCATTAGTACACAATAGATAATTCAAGTGCTTCATGTTCTTCTGAGTGAATGTTTGGCTCCATCAGCCACTCTAAGTAAAAGCAAAGTTGTAGGTGTCAAAAATGCATCCCTGAAAAAGAGCAGAGCCTCATTTTTCCACCTGGATGCTAATCCAAATTCTTCTGCATCTTTGACTGACAGTCGACTAATTACATTTGAATCTTGGAACATGCGCTCATATCGTTTTTCCAAAAGGATCAGGGGGCGGACATCTTCGTAAAAATAGCCTGGGAAGACCACCAGCCCAGCCCACAGGCTTAATCCCTCGTATACACACACAGGAAGGTCAGTGACAGGGATGAGGCTGAGAGGAATGCAACTCTGTCTGGATGAACTCTCTTCCCCTCTGTCTTCTCTCTACATTTGTTCAGTACCACTCCTTCTAAAACAATGTATCTAGAATTACTCTCTAGTAACAAATATATAAGGTGCAAAACATTTTTGGATCAACAAATGATGTTGGAACACGGTTCCGCTGTGTATGTAGGTGGTACCTACAGACCTCCAAGGAATAATGGAAGGCTATGTTATTTTTGACCTACAAGATGTATGTTATGTAAACCTGTCAGCACAAAATAACCATATCATACCAGGAACTCGGGTGCAGGAAAGGTTCTAGATTTGAAGCCATGCCATCCTTCAGGTTCCTCTTATTTCTAAGTAGGTGGATCCACCGGATTACACTGAGTTATCTGCTTGCCCTGGATTAAATTGCCACTGTATTGTACCCTTGCTCCCTGCTGTTGTCCAGATCAGTGACTGCAAATCACAAAGCAGTGTGGTGCAGACCCTAAATAAAGCCAGAACCAACTGTAGTACAAATATAGTCATTGCCTCTCAAAGGTCTCTAATCTTTGTTGCATTACTGCACAGTATGTCTGTCATCATGTGACATCAAGCCAGGGGTGGAGGTGACCCATATTCACCAGCAAACAAAAACTCTCATCTCATAGATTGAGCTGGCATAATATGGAAATCATGAAAAATTACTTGCATGTCAACAGTTAGCGCTATTTACTAATTATGAAAGCAGAGATTATTGTATAGTGTTCATATTGTCAGTATTAACCTGTTTTTCATGCATGCGTGTTTGTAACTTTATTATAACCCCTCTGATTCGTATCGGATAGATAACAGGTGCTGGTCTTTGTCTCTTGGATTATTAACATCTACACCAGACAGTGCCAACGCTGCAGAGCAAAAAGCTTGCTGATCTTGCATATTCCTTTTGCCTGCTTAATCCTCTGAAGTCAACTAGTGAGCAGCTGCCAACAGATTTCGTATGCGGCCTGTCTAGCCCCAATAAATAGGCCTTTATTTGACCTGGACTCGGGTGTCCTCTTATCTTAATGTATTCAGGCTTTACAATAAGGTGTCAGTGGCTGCCCCCCCCCCCCCTTAATCAAATGATCTCAGAGAAGAAGAGAAGCTTTTACTTTGGTGACTCCTTTGAGGTGGCGACTTGTTGTAGACTGAGACAGATCAACACGACACAGTTGCATTTCTCTGAAGCACAAAAGCCTCTCCACACCAGAGTTGACAGCCGGTTGGCATGGTGATGACAGCATAAGTGGGATCCATTAGGTTGAGAGGAGGGGCGGCTCTAGTAGTTAATGAGAGGACTCACACAAACCTGGCCCTTTGAGCAGGTCTCTGCTGTCTTCAGCAACATGCAGAGCTCGCTTTCAACGCTGCATATTCAACTGAACAGGATAGCCACATAGGGGGTTGCTGGGGGGCGAGGAGATACAATCTACTAAGTCTACAATCTCCCAAAACCTTACACCCCTTCAGGGAGGCCTTGGGTAATGCCTCCACTAACTCTGCCCCCACCCTCCCCCCAGTTCTCACCAAAGTGAGTCATGGTATGCGTGGGTGACAAGACCTGTCGCAGAGCCAGACATATGATCTCCACTGCTAAAGAGGAGAGAAAGTTGTCTACTCCAAGGAATGCACAACCCATTAAAATGTTCTTCTCTTCGATCCGTTGCCTCCTAGCTCACAGATTTCGTGGAGTTTGGATTAAGTGTGTAGGTGAACCTGCTGATTACCTTTTGGTGCCAGCAGCAGCAAGTCAGAGCACAAAACATACTTAAACATATGCCCTAAATAAGAACTTTACACCTAGAATTTGTAAGATGTGTTTGATAAGTCAGATAACGATCAATTATTCAAAGCAAAGATCACATTGAAAAGAAAAACACTGAAATGCTAACCTACCTGTGACAGGAAAAGTTAAAATCTTTAGAAAACTTCATACAGCTGCAGAGCCCAGAAAGAAGACTGCCTTTTTTCTCCAGCTCTCAAGTACACTGTCCAGGAATATTAACTTCTGCCTCAGTGCCTTGTGCTGAGACACTTTCCATTACACCAGTTCTGCAGCACAAATAAACAGGCTTAAGTTTACTGAAAATGCTCCAGATTCTTAGATGTTTCAAAACGCCCACCAGTCATCAATGTGTGGGAATCTAACACAATGATAACAATTGTCTACTAGGATTCTAATTTTTTTAAATGACAGCAATGACTGCTTTATGTCAAACCTATACATTGTTGTATATAAAGATTGATGTCACCCATAAGTTTCACCATGACCACACCACAGAGTGGGCTGCCCCTCCGTTGCCACCTTGGCAGTGTCTGACTCCACCTAACTCCTGGCTAATCCAAAAATGGGCAAAGAGGCGGAGCTGTAACTTAGACTAAGACTAACTAAGACTTAGATGCATGCCAGTTTGTGGCAAGTACATGCTCACCCACCTGCTTTAAACCTTAATAAAATATAAATGGGTGAGTAATATAAAAATTCACATACAGAAATTAGCTTTAAGGCCAAAGTTATTTCTTGTACCAGGCTGTAAACACGTTATATGATATTAACTAGCCTAGCAGTTTCCCCTGTTTCCTGTCTTTGAGCTAGGTTTAGATGAATACTGCTATATATTTACTGTATCAGAATAGTACGGTCTTCTCCTGTTACTTTTGGCAAGAAAGTGAAAAAGCACATTTCCCAAAATGTCAGATTATTCCTTGAAGAACAAGAGATGAAATCTATTGAGTAATATTCTGTAATGTATTTTAACCAAGCCAATGCAAAATTCACAGCTCAGGACAGTGACCTCTTCTGTGGAACTGTCTTGAGTCCTGCAAACTGGAGGGACAACCCGCCACCCTCCACCACCTGAACTTTTACATTAATCCGTGACTGACATCAATGGATTATTTGTGCCACTGATCCTGGCAACACAAACACTTATCACACACTTTGACCTGCGGCGTTGAGCGGAGGCAGTTGACAAAGATGTGTCATCTCTGCATGGTGGAGGAGATGACTGCAAATACCAGAGTGCTAGCTAGGATATGGGGTAACTAACAACAGCCGGAGGATCGAGGCGTAACCACCACAACACACTCTCTTCGCTCTCATCAATCACTTATCAAGGCTTTTGGATTGCTATTTATACCTCCGCCTGCATTACATGGCACTGTAGAACAGTGTGGGCATCAACTGTGGAAATTAAGTTTGACATAGATGCAAGAACACTGTATTAGGTGGCATCGTGTAAGATGTGTCAAGACCAACAAACTTTGTCTAACCTGAAGAACTCAAACTTTCAATGAAATGCTCCCATGTAAAGGAATGGTTTGACTATTGTCTCTTTTTTTGCCAAGTTACATGAGAAGATCAATACAACTTTCACATTTATACAGTAAATGTGTAGCTACAGCAGGTGCGGATCTAGAGAAAAATTCATGGGGTGGCAAGAGGATGGCAGAAGTATGTATGCTGATTTATTCATAAACAATCACATATATCGGTATTTGATTGGAAAAGTCCCCAAATGAAGATTTAAGATTTCTAACTCAAAATATTTTTGTGGCACGAGAAAAACATTGAAAAGACAAAAAAGCTGACTTGCCCTACCACAACATACTGTATTTTGCACTATTAGACCAATAGGGGCCACAAAATCTATGAAAAGACAGCTGCAATAATTACGCTAAACAACAAGCAAGTCTTGTTTGTATTGTTATGCAATTGCAGAAATAATGAGTTATTTCCATTCAGCTCTCAATTATAAGCCCAACTTGAGTGCAATAATCACATGATGAAGTGTGGTCGTGCTAAACACAGCAAATGGTGCTTTGATGAAGAATCTTCTGCCTCATCTTTATCTAACATAGCCATCGTTAGGTCATTGACAGGTTCAAAAGTCGTAAGTTTAGTAAGTAAGTTATAAATACAAATACTTAAGTACAGTACTCAAGAAAATGTAATTGCATCACTTATACTTTTGCATTTATACTTTTTACACATTTATTATTGCCAACGATGCAAGTTAGCCAGTGTTTATCCAGTAATGCTGATGAAATGGCAAATGTTTTTTTCTCTGAGCTTAAATTTGAAAATGTGGTGAGGGATTTTGGTACTTTTTAAACTGGGTGCTTTGCTATGTTGCACTTTTATGACTGATCTGAAATTTGGCCACGTTTGTCTGCACAATGAGCAGCTTCGGACATGTTGGTAGATTTAGCCAGATTGGGTTTATTAAAGTTTAATCCGTCCCTCATACAATCAAACCTGAGCTACTAGAACTAAACAAAACACTCCTCAACAGACCAACCCCACCACTATCCATCTGCGATCGTACTGTATTTCTACTAGTGGCAGTTGGCTTACACAGCATCAGCAGTCATTGTGTGTAGCCTGAGATGAGAGAAAACGGAGGGAGCTGCTGCCTGCTGCAGGGACGGCAAACAGCAGCTGGATAAAATCTTCATATTTTATGGGGATAAAATTAGTTTTTGACTTTTTGTCTATGTCTATCCCACATGTCCCTCCCATGCTCACAACTTCTCACACAGCTGCCTGTTAATTAGCTCACTTGTTACCTACCCGAACTGATCAGCCACATTTGCTAGCTAGCAAACACGGTATATGGTCTGGCCTGGCCTTGCACTTTACAACATTTTTCTAATTTATTAACTCATACGGCCTGATGGCTCGTCCACGGGTCCATCAGAAGGGTCTGAACATGCTCTGACAGAGTAAAGACTTAAAACGTATGTCAATATGTATAGATAAAAAGAACTGTAAAGTTCAATTAAACTATTAGGCCTAGAGGCCTTGAAGCTTCACAGAGCAGTTACTGTTACTGTTCTTGGTGAGTGCAACCCGTAGAACCTAGGGGTTCTGCATTCACTTGCAGCATGAGATGAACTGACATTTCTGCATTTTGGTTTTCATACGGTTTAAGCAAATGAGATGTAAGCTAACTTGTCAAGGTTATTGAATGCCTTATACTCCTTGTGCCTACGCAGGTAATCACAAGCCAGGCATGTGCTCTGCCCAGAAATAGGCCTTCTTCACTTTAAGTGCTGATGCCACTCAGAGTAACTGAGGTACATTTCCTCATTCTTGTCCAGGAGCAGCAGGTAATCAGCCAGCTCCTTGGCTGAGGTGAAGTTGTCCGCATGGATGAAGGCGTCTCCCTGGATAAAGTTCTTATAGTTGTTTCCCCCTGCTTTCAGCCAATATGCCAAGTTAAGCTAACACACCTTTGGTTTTTGCTATTTATTTGCTGTACCAGCACAAGACTGGTATTAATCTTCTGATAATCTCTGATAACTCTTGGCAAGTAAATAAGTATATTTGCCAAAATGTCAAACTATTATTTTCAAAGTGAGCAACAATCAGTTTTTATTGGAAAAATGGTTTCATCGTCAAATTATTTCAAACTATTACTATCAAATACATCATGAGCTCTATCTTTACAAAAAAAAGTTCAGAATACTTCCTTCGTGTTTGCTCATTTATCCATATCTTTATTTTTTTTTTTGACACTATCAGACATCTACAGTTAAAACACAACATTTGGCAAAATACATTGATTTGGCAAAAAACTTGTACTGATTGACTCACTGATCATTTCAGTGAACTGGCAGAAAATGAGCATTTTTGGAGAAATCTTCATGTTCGACCACACATGAAGATTTCGTCCTACTCAGTATACAGTGTTTTTAAGGACTCCAGCAATATCAGTGCCAGGTCAGACAGTATCCAGAGACATCCTGATTCACTCTCTGGTGCTGTGACACACTCACAGACTCAGACGGGGGTGGGGTGGGGGTGGGGGCTGGGAGCTGAGAAGCCACAGCTCCCCATTTTTGTTTTAGTGCGAAAAAAAAAAGAGAGAGAGAAAGGGAGAGAGGATGACAGAGACAGACAACACGCAGAAAAACAAATCTTTTGTTTCTTAAAGTCACCAACCACATTGGACAAGAAACCTTTGTTTTCATACATGAGATTGGACTGTACAATATGAAACCATGAGTGGCAGCTTCATAGTTAATCTGTGGGACAGGCTGAGGTCTTGGATGACAGTTTCTGAACTCACAAAAGCTCCATCTAAGACAGCCACCAGCACAGTGAGTCATACAACTCCACATGAATAAAAGTGCTATATCTCTGCTGCGATTTCGTACAACTTTTTCAATTGGGTCATGCCAACAGGATTACTGCCTAATCAGGAAAAAAAAAAAAAAAAAAACTTCTTCAGTGTAAAATTGCCTGATGAAATCGTCCACCTTACAACACTAAAACCATTGTCTCTGACGCTGGTTATCCTTTTCAAGTGTCTCTCTCCTTTCGTCTTGATTCACAGTCTCTCGAAGCACAAGCTTTACTTACAAAGATACAGCGAAATCACATTCACTGCCTGACAACACTTGCATGTTTCAAAGAGATTTGAACATTAAAAATATATACAACACACTGCTTCCTTTCTCCATGAATGCAACCACTGCAGGAGCTCCCTCAGTCTGGTTCAGATTCACAGACAGGACTGATCTGTGTTAGTGGGCTCATTGGATCCAGATGATGATTCAGTTTACAACAAGGTTTATATACAGGTTTTGTTATGGCATTTAGGGCCATATTTATATAAGAAAAATAATTGAATTCATCATAATTTACATCAATGGTCCCTTTGACAGTGAAGAAATATCAAAATGATAATAACCTGACACGTTAGAATATTTTAGAAGAAGCCACCGGTTTATCTTGCATAAAATGTTGACATGGTTTTGCACAGTTCTTGAGTAAAAACGTAACCATCGTGTCAATAGCTGCTGGGTGCTGTTGAGATGCATTGTTCAGTGAAATAGCTGTTTGACAACATTTACAAGTGGTGTGATATCAACAGATGAAGAGCTGTCTTTTTGTAGTGTGATCTTGAGTGGTGTTGTGCTGTAAACAGGATTGTATACGAACAAAAAAAAAAAAAAATCCAGAAGAATATCTTTCACATGCAACTGCCAACTCCCCAGGCAACATTGTGGTGTGATGATTCAAAGACAGAAACATGGATAATCCTACAGTAATCGTGAATATCTCCCATTTTTCCTTAACAGGTCCCAAACATGTGGGTAGAGCTCACATGGTCTGATCTGGTCAAATAGTTGAAAATATCAGTGTTCATTTTTAAAAGTCAAATTGTAGGATGAGAGTACAGTACACACAGAAAAATCGCTTAATAAAATGATTCAGTTATGTATAATTTTTATGCTCTTTCCCGTCACCGTATCAGTTAGAAATTACAGACTTTTGTAGATCGAATCAGAATGCAAAATAATGGGTTGAGTGGGACTTTCACATCGCAGTACAATGACTGTACTGTACTATCATCATCCACATGGGATCCAACTGCACTGTGACACATTACATGTGACAATGAACAATTCATAACATGATTAAAATAGTAACCTCCCTCTCACGGAGCAGAGTCACATCTGCTATTGGAGACTACCGGAGTAATGATCACCATATGTCATCAACAACCACATACTACGATGACCGTCTGTCTTACTGTACATATGTAAAGATAGGTAACAGTTGAATTAGAAGTGCAAATGCAAACATACAAAAATATGAAAAAATGACAGCTACATAATTCCAAAAGTACACAATATGTACATGACACAATTGACCTACTTTCACATTTGAGTTCAGTAAACACTGCATAGGTGACAGCATCACTAGCACAGATGAGATTGTTTTTATCATATAATGCCTCACTTGAATAAATATTACATAAATATTTTCACTTTTATGTCAGTCTCCTTCTGCAGCAAGGTCTGCTGTGTGCCACTTCATGAGAAGGTGATATTTAAAGAAAAAATGACAACCTTGCATCATGAATATTATCTGTTACACAGGAACATTCATACAATCAAGCATTCATACTAATAATACAACAAAAACATTAAAAATAGCAGCAAATGTGGTCATGTTAAGCAAAACATGGGTTGAAATAATTAAAAAAAATGTAGTGCATTTGTAATTCATAAAAAATAAATACAAATAATAACTGATAACTCAAAAGGCAAAGTAAGGCTTAGCAAAATTGGCTTGCAAATTAAAAAAAAAACAAACAAACAAGACAGACATCTCACCGGGCCACTGAACCAATAGAAAAACATCATTCGGGAGCTCTGGACAGAAGAGTAATGAACCTTCATGTCAACCGAAGGACAAAAATCTTAAAGCACTGCCTTCAACAACAAAACAAGCACTGCATAGCCCTTCAAAGCATTATCCACCCCAGTACCACTTATCAAGGTTATTGAATGCCTTATACTCCTTGTGCCTACGCAGGTAATCACAAGCCAGGCATGTGTGCTCTGCCCAGAAATAGGCCTTCTTTACTTTAAAGTGCCGCCGCCACTCAAAGTACCTGAGGTACATTTCCTCATTCTTGTCCAGGAGCAGCAGGTAATCAGCCAGCTCCTTGGGCGAGGTGAAGTCGTCCACATGGATGAAAGCGTCTCCCTGGATAAAGTTCTCGTAGTTCTGCCGGGGCGGGCCGAGAACCACTGGCACTGTCCCCACAGAGAGCGGGTTGTACAGTTTCTCAGTAATGTAGTCCTTGTGGATGGAGTTCTCAAAAGCCAGGTAGAACTTACAGCTGGCGATGGTGGGGAAGTAGTCTTGGTCAGAGATGTACTCCCCGAAGGCTTGTCCATACGCATGAACCTCGATGTGTTTGTACAGCTCATTGTAGTACTTCACCCGCACGTGATCCTGGTTCCAGTTGCTCACAATCCAGCAGATCAGCTTGTTTTTGCTGGGCGGGACAAAGTCCTCCTCGCCCTCCGCCGCTACGATGGACCCATAAGGCACTTCAATGTCAGCATCCTGACGGTAATTGAGAGTCAGATTGAACAGGTTCTCGATCCCAGGCAGCTGGGACGAGTGTGACGGCGACTCCAAGTTCATCCATATCCACTTCTGGAAGGATGGTCGCTGGAACGGCGGCAGGTTGGACAGGTCAGTGCAGATGTCTCGGTGATGGATGATGACCCCATCTGACTTATTGTAGAGGTTTCTGTCTGCAGTGATAAAACATCCCTCGATGTTGAAGAGAGAGCTGCAGACACTCAAGTCGTAGGTTTGTCCGAAAGGCCAGAGCCAGATCAGCACGGTGGTCACGTTTTTATCACTCTTGGTGGAGAAGAGGTTCTTAACCCGGTCTGTGGATGCTGTTGACTCTACGGGACCTGATAACCAGCTGGTGGATGGTTTAAAATACATCAAAAACAGAGTCACAAAGCATCCCAGGATGAACGTGCCGAGCAGAAGGGGTCGTAGGATTCTGTGAAAAGGTGCAGATGGCATACTCTGTCCTGAGAAGGGCAAAGCAAAGCAAAGCAAAAGCAAGAATAAAGTCAGGATCAAGTGGATTCAACAGCCAGAATATCACTGACTCATGTGCACGTGTTAATAGCATCTATTATACTGGATTGTTCTCTCTGAACATCATTTGTGCCTCACTTAAGTACACTTAGTTTGTGAGCATCTGCATGTGAGTGCAGTGCACCTCTTATCGCTATAATCTGTTGTGTATACGCCCTGGTATGGGATCAATACTCATAAAGAAAATTGTACTGCCTCCTCCCGGCACATTATAATACAAACCTGGTGGATTTGACTGAATGCTGAAATCCAAGCAAGAGTAGAGGTTGTGGGAATCGGAGGGAGCAGTTCCTACATCGGGTCGACGGTGGGATCAATCTTCGCTGTGATTCAGCGCTCATAGAAAAAAAACATTGCAGGTCACAGCTAAGAGATGGCTCTTTGCTCTTACGCAGAATGACAGTGATCCTTAATGATCTAATGAGGTGTGTTTGATCTTGAATGTACAGGTCTTCTTAATGATGCCTCCTTCACGTGAGCAGAGAGAGAGAATCAGAGAGAGAATCAATTAGGGCTAAGAGAGGGTAACGAAACAAACCATCACCACACACACACACACACAAAAAAACATGCATGTGTGGAGGTTATATGCAGGACAAAAACTTTATCTCCACTAACAAGTCTTCCAGATAAGCTGGAAAATAGAATAAAAACACTGAAGTTATTACAAATTTGCCAGTTAATCACGGATGTTGTTTCAAATTTGCCAGTTAAGCATGGGTGTCGGCTTCCAGCTGTTATTAGTTTTTGGCATACACCATGTATTGTAAGAGAATGCTGCCATCTTAAGGCTGAAGAGAGTAGAAAGACCCCCGGACTCTCCAGCTGTCTGGGGCTCTACACACCTGCATGTTGTATAAAGAGGCCATACAAGCAGGTCGAGTGCAGGAATGAACCTCGAGAGATGATTTTGTTTATTCCATGCATCTCTGAAAGACATGTGAATCAGAAATAGCAGCTCAAACGCTGATATTCTTCGCACCATCTGTCCAATATGCCTTATGATAATGGTTATGTACAGCAGCACCCCATCATCTCCTCCATCCACACCATCATCTGTGACTTCGGTACAGAGATCTGCAACCTAAGGCCAAATGAACTGGGGCCAGATGAGTGTGACTCCTTTTAAAGGCTTAGGGTATCAATATATTTTCATGTAAGCAAATCCTCTTACACCACTGAACCACACTTTCCGTAAGCAGCAGTGATAAGCTCTCAGCTCATACATACCTTCACATGTTGGTGTCAGGGATGTAAAACACAGTGTATGTTCAAAAAGGCTGCGCAGTGTACATTAGTGCAGGGATCAAAATCAGGCCTATTAAATATGCAGTGTGTGGTAAAGTTAATAGTCTCCATGGTGATGGTGCTGAGGTCAGAGTATGTAATATGAGAGGGTGATATGGCTGTACAGTTATTTTCCTCCTTCCTGTCCATCTGTGTGCCGACCAGAGTGAGACACGTGCAGGGCTCAAGCATTCATTCACATTTTAAATAACATAGCTGTTTTTTTTTTTGTCAAATGTATTGTGATGTATTTGGGACACGGAAGGAGCACAGCATGGGTGAGTAGTCTGCAGCGAGGCTACGTTTGCGATGACTGGAGAGAGGCAGGGAACCACACATTTTTGGAAGCATCAGCCACAGTAACGCATCAAATCCATGATGTGGTTTCAGTAACAGGTAGGCTAAAGGGCAGAAGGAAATACATCATGTAGGCTTTTTTTTTTTTAGATACTATGATTGATGTGTATACTGCCAGGAAGGCCACAGCACTGATTGTAAAAGGACACTCCATCCCAGGTGAGAATTAATTCCCAGCCATCGAGCACTGAAGGTCATTTTAAAACGCGATGCTATAGTGGAGCCAGTTTAAAATGGTTTCTCTTTCGGCTTGAAACTGCATTGAAGTTGATGAGAATAACTGGACATTCACTGGAATATTTCATGAGTTTCCTAACATAACAGCAACCCCCTTTTGCGCACCAGAAACGCGCAGAATATAAATAATAGCGTGGAGGATGATGCTGAAAAAACATGAACAGTGTTTGAGCTGCGAACACACAAGAGTGCAATCTAAATACAAGTCACATACATGGAGGAAAACCCTTTATATTCCCTATAGTATAAACTGTCCATGTGCATTTGAAATGTTAAAAAAAAATGCAGCGTAGAAATAAACACCTGAAAGAAAATGGAAATGCACCGGTCTGTGACATTCTTTTTTATGTAGACATCATTTCTAATTAGCTGGAGAGGATTTGCCGTCAAAAGCAGGTACTGCTGCTCAGCCATGGGGCGCAGTGGGGGGAAAAAAACAGCCATGCATTTCACTCACCATCTCGACAGGCGTGAGTCAAAATAGACCTTTCTTCTCATTTCCTCCGCTCCCTTTTCAAAGACACCTTGCAACATACGGAAGATGTGGATGCGTCTTGAATAAAAAAAAAGAAAAGAAAGAAAGAAGAATCGCGCCCGTCCGCCGTATTCGCAGGAATAGATCCGGATGAACCCACATCCATCGTCTTGATCCCGAAAAATGATGATACCTATCGTAGCAATGTGCGCTGAATCTTCCCCACTGCTGCACACCGACGCAGAGAATGATGGCTGCAAAAAATAAAAAAATAAAAAAATAAAAAAAGAGAGGAAAAAAAAAAAATTGGCGGCTACCCCGTCAGCCTGCACACTAAATTCATGGCTCGGTGTGTGAGGACGCCATGTATGCTCAGGGATGTGATGCGATGTGGAATAATTCCCTGCTGGCTGCCCATGCGCTACCTTGCTCTGTTTACCGTCAATGCAGCTGCAGGCTGTGGCGGAGCTCCAGTGTTGGTGTGTTGGTGTGTTGGTGTGTGTGTGTGTGTGTGTCTCTGTGTGTGTGTGTGTGTGTGTGTGTGTGTGTGTGTGTGTGTGTGTGTGTGTGTGTGTGGGATGCTGAGATTCCGCGTTAGTACATATTACACTTTAATCATCAGCTTAAGGTTGTCATTTGAATAAACAGGTGAATCATTTCTGCTGCGAGGAAGCGCGGATCAGAAGGTTCCCCCCTCGCTTGGCCTCTAACGGCTGAACATCCAAATAACAAAATAACAGGAGGTTTGTGTGATACATGGCTGCCTCTTAGTGATGTAGCGTCAAACCCGTGGTGTGACCGGTGTGACCACTATGACCGCCAGTTAGTGCTGATAATGCGCCACCATGAAACATCAGTTAAGCAGAGAAGTTTTATGCAAATTTGCATAACAAGACAATGCACATGAGCTGATAGGCTACAATAAACAAGAAGTCTCACTAAAGAAGGTGTTGAAATTATTCCACAGAGGTGAAAAATGTTATTATTTTGCACAATTAAAACTTAAAAATCAGGAGTAATGTATCAGCTCATTAATTAGGTTAGTCATTTAAAGGGCCACTCTAGTGATTTAGTGTTGTTCTTCCATTAAGTGTGGGGACCGGTGAGAGACTCCTTAAAAAGAAGGATGTTCAAAACCAGAGCTGCAGAGGCCGAGATATCCTGACTTTGCAACCAGTATCTTTCATCAGCGAGCAGACTGAAAACAGCCCTGCGTAAAAATAACGCTGTGTTGGCGGGGGTTTGTTGCTACAGGTACCTGTGAGACATGAAATAATAACAAAGTGCAGTATGGGTAACAGATGGGTTTGAAGGTTTATCAGATGCCAGAGCACTGCGCAATTTTTTATAATGCTATCAGACAGGATTTAACTGCTCTGGAAAGTTGTTGCAACAGAAGTTATTTATCTGTTGTCTCAACAGTAAACAGTAGAAATATGGGCGTTCATGTTACAAACTAATCCACCACAATGGAGTGGTTGCATGCATTTGATTAGTCACCCCATTGCTTTGCCAGATGACATTGTTGTATTGTAATCCCTGTAAAAACCTACACGCCCTGATGACATCATCGGGGTTATTTTCCCAGACCTAAAAGGAGCTATTTGTAAGTTTTGTTGTTGCTACATAGCCAACGTTAGCATCAACAGCTGTTTACTTACCAGTCTAGAAGAAACATTGTGAGTGCAGCATCAGACTTCAGCCCTTTGCTCTCCAAGAGCTGTCTCCAGATGTGGAAAGCAACACCAATGTCTCTATCACGTCTTTTCTTCTACTGTAGTTAGCACACTAATCAGCTAGCCCCGGTTGTCCTGTCACTTTCCAACAGCAGTTCACTGTAGCCTCCAATCCGCCTTGAAAACGTAGCGCTGCTCAGAGGGCGTATTATAACCTCTCGCAATAATGGCCGAAGCTCTTGTCAAGAAAACCACCCGCTCCCGGTTTGGTGGCAGAGAAAACATATAGCACCTTTAAGGCTACCCTGAGTTATTTTTTTTCTTTAGTTGTTTTAACCCCTAGTATTACTATTGAACAGGTTTTTTTTTAGCAGGTCTGCACATGCACACAGGTGACATAACACACATTCCTGCCAACCGTATCACACGATTCCACTGATCGACAGGTGTTGGTAAGGTGCCGAGAAACGTGGCCATTACGCCAACAAAGGTAGTGAAGAAGGCTGCAAGCGAGCAAACATCAATGTAAACAATTAAAATACTTAAAAAAATTTTTTTTTTTTAAATTAGCTTTGCAAATGTTTTGAGGAGGGAAATAAATTCATCAACTTTGGTACGTATCAAAAATATACATAGCACTTTTTTGGTGGGTAACAGTGAGTATAAACATATCTTTTGTTTCTTCCACAGGACACCTTTAAGAAAGTGTTTTCACAGGCTGAGTAGCACTAACTATGACAAGAGTCCTGATCTTAATGTGGAGAATCACTTAGGTGCTCTTTAGATAAGCGCATTTCTGCCAGTTTAAGTAGCACTTATATAAACTGCATCTTAATCTCATAATAGTGACGAGAAAACTGAATCTTCATATGTACTAAAGGGATTCCAAACATATATTTAGTGGTAGGGGGAATATGTTTTAAGTGATGCAAGCAGACATGTCACCACATGTTCCAGGTATGTATTAATGATAACAGGCCATGACAAAAAAAAAAAGGGGAGGATTCCAGGGATAAAAATGATCTTGATTTTACCCTGCACTCTGGCACTGAGCTGCTGCCTGATTCAATAACTGAAGTGCTGTCTTGCCATCCCTCTGCTGTTTGCATCACTGTGATTCATTTTAAGATTAAGCTTGACATGCCTTTGAAAAATCAAGATCTCTGTAGTGCTTTTTCTTTTCATGTTTTTTTGGTGTGAGACAGAGCTGGAAGCAGAGTGAGGCAACAGCTTTATACCACCAGACGGCTTTGTTTACTTGTGTCTTTCCAATCCTTTCCAGGGTGCACTTTTATTTATTTCTACTGAGGTTTATTATAGTCACAGATTACAGGAACGCAAATCATGCCAACCCACAGTTTCAGCTGGATACGTTGGAGACGGTGAGAAAACATGCTGATAAAGTTGTGAATCCCAAAGTGTGCAATGGCTGCGTAAACAGGAAATAATCAGTTACACATCAGTTAAATGAATAATAATTCACCCAAGTGTAAAAAATAACATACATTGCTGCAGCCAAAATTAAGATAATAAATTAGTTCACTTGCCAGTGGCTTTGCGAATCATTTGGCTTTTTTCATACAGTTATTCATCATTTGCATTTTGTTGTCCGTTAGGCAACTAGAACTTAGTTTTCATGTAATTATTTTATACAACCGTGAACAAATATTTGCTATGGCTCTTAGTCAGATCATTCCTGCCACTTCCGTCGCTCACCGCCAAATATCGCAGCCCACTTGCGAGTTATCTCCAGGTAAATTGCGGGTTTATTGGGCAGGTAGTCCAGATACACAGTCTGGCTTGTTTTGGGAATCGCCATTTCGATCTGAGTCCCCTCGTGCCATTCGTTAAAAGATGTTACAGAGATAAAATCTGGCCTGGCTTCTAACGCAGCACTCAGTGAGGTTTCATAGTATTTGCCGTTGACGCGGTTTCGAGTGTTTTGGAAGTTCCAGGGGCGAATGCTTGTGTCAATGTACCCCGGGCCCACGCTTGGAATGAATATCAGGTTGTTATCTTCGCAGAACGCTTTAATAGAGTCCCAGTTCCGCTGAGTTGACCCATAGGAGAACCCATTAGTAGCAAAGTAGGTGTAGATACCATCAAAACCTGCTGTCAGGATATCCCTCTTATGTTTCTCCTCTACCAGCAGGGCAATGAAGATGGCATCATATGGGGTATCCCTGATGCTGTTACTCTCTGTGTGTTTTAGCAGTTTGGTCCACTGCTCGGAGTTCATCAGATATGAGTCATACACATAGAAGAGCGGAAGAAGCTTGCCAGTGTTTGTACGGTACCTGAAGAAAGCAGGGTGCTCTCCATATCTGAGGAGATATGATGCAAACATGATCATTTTTGATTAATGCAATGAGTCACGACAGAATGATTCACTGAGAGAGTGTAAGATCATGAGACTGACAACAGTGAGGAAACTCTACTCACTTCTCTATGATGTATTTGACATTAGAGAACATACTGACTTCATCTCTCCCTTTGTACGGTTCAATGTGAAAAGCTACCTGCAAACACAGAAATGAGAGCAACATAAAAACTGGCAGCACACACATTCTTACTGGCATTAATATTTCAGATTTTTTGATTTAATCTTAAGAGACTGTATACATCAAACATTTGGTTAGCTACTGCTTGCAAAACAAATGGTTAAGAAACTCACTGCTGTCTTCATACAGACCTTAATATGGTATTTCTGTGCCAATCCCAGCAGTAAAGGCACAATGTCATCTGTTGGCTCACCGTTGTCATCCTTCGTATTAGGAGGATACCAGGAAACAGCAAGGACACCTGCGAATAAGCAGTTACAGGTCAAACATGAACCCCACACCTGAACGAAAGAAAACACTTACGTAACTGTTCATAAATATAAAAAAAATATACATATAATGTAAAGGTATTGTAGTGATATTAAATGTACGGTGGGAGCAATGCAGTAGGGTGCCACTGTGGCAGAAATGAAAATGCCAAAAATCATTATCTTCATTGTCTTAATATTTGGCTTCCACTAAGTGTGAAGTCCAAAAACCCACAAACAATAACAAAAGAATCTGTGGAATTCGAATGATTATTATGATTTAAGTATTACAGGGCTAGCCAATGGGTCAATAGTATTGCTTATCAACATATAGTAGTATAGTATAGTATAGTAGTATTATCCATATTAATGATTCCAAGTACAATGTAATCAAACATGAATGAAATTAGTTATTTGAGTTTTGTTTTATACTCTGTTTTATCTGATGCAATGCATAGCAGCGGAAAATAGTTCATTGCATTGAAGATTGGTTTGATTATTTTACCTTTGATTTACATACATCTGCAATACTGTAATATCTGATATTTTACAGGAAAATATTCTTAATAATAATGTGATGTCATTTCCTTTCCCTGATACTGATTCTGATACGTCAACTCATCTGCCAATTTTGAATACCAATCTCACACCAGTGCTGTCTTTTATTCTAATTTAAAATTTGTACACCTCCCTGCATGGATCTCATTGTTTGTATGGTGACGTGAGTCCAGGAACTACTGTCGCTCAAGTCAGTGGTTTGCTGTGAATGAATCAATGTATCCCATAACAAAAATACTGAATTTCATAATGATGCTGACGACACAGTATGTAATGTAGCTCGGTCAAACCAATACCCAGTTCACTTCATCAGAATGCAATAAACCACATTGCCTCCTCATATCCTTCCTAATATCAGAATATCATGATTTAATAACAAATTGGTTTCACTGGAAAAAAACAAGTGATGATATTAAATTACTGCCCCACCCTGGAATAAAATTCAGGCTAATTCCTCTCTTACCAATAGCTGCTGTACGTAGCTGCTGCATATGAGCCTCTATAACGTAGGGGTCCCTGGAACTGTAAGCTCCTAGAGAGGGATAGAAGTTGGACCCAATGTCATCAGGTGGGCTGTGTCTTCCTTGTGGATACCCCTGAGCCACCTTAAAGTCCCAGTGTGGCAGCTGCAGATGATCCCAGTGGACGTATTTGCCATCAAACTTGGGGTTCCCATACCATGTGTAGTAGAAGGCGTGGACATAGTAGTTTGGAGGAGGAAACTTCCTCAGTGTAGCCTCCAGTTCTTCATCTCTGTCTGACTTGGGAGAGTCATTCATTTTGATGTGGTCAGGTCTATTGTTGTTTTCTCTCGGCATCTGATTGTCATGCTCTCTGTCAGGAAACAGCTTGACACCCACAGGGCTGCTGAACGGAGAGTCCTCTGGTGTGAGCCCTTTCAAGACCAGTACAATGAGGACAAGCAACACCAAAGCAATTAATGTGATGCAAGATTTGCGTCTAAACCTTGCCATTCTTTAGTCTGTGCTTGAAGCTTTCCACAGTTCATTGTTGAGACAGCAGTGAAGGACTGTTGTTGGAGACGATGCCATTGAAACTCAGTCAAAGAGTTTTTGTTCAGCCTGGAAGTTTGAAGAAACAAAGGATCTACATCAATTAATCTGCCAGTTCTTGTCACAATTAATCAACTAATTGTTTGGTCTATAAAAGATCAGACAATTATTCCATTCCCATTAAAACCCAAAGATGATCAGTTTACAGATGAAACTAAGACTATTTTCTTGATTAATGGTTTAATCTATGAACATTAAAAATTAATCAACTTATTGTTTCAGTTTTTAAAAAATTTAGAAACACCAAGGCTGGATTACCAACCAGGCAAAGGAGACAACTGAGCAGGGGTGCTAGAACCTCAGAGGCCCCAAAATCTGAACCATTAAAGCACTATATCAACTATGATGGTGGATGATGGTCCTCCATCCTCCAATGTTATGGTCCCTAGTTAACATATTCCAATTTCTTGTTTTATCTAACCAGCTGTCAAAAATACAAAGATGTTGAGTTTATTATCACAAAAAAAGAAAAAAAGGAGAGAATTTAGTAAATATTCACATTTAAGGGGTGATAGTTGACATTTAGTCCTTCAGAAGAAGACTTAAACAATTACTGAATCATCAAACTTACTGTCAATTAATTTTAAATAACTCAATTAATCAACTAATCATCACTATTAATTGGTGTCTGGGTCCCTGGGTAAATAATGAAAGTGCATCATACAGTGGGGGTAAGTGGGGGCCCAACGACAAATCTGTGCCCTGTAGCCCCCCTATGAGCTTAATGCAGCCATGAGATAGACAGCTACGATGTAATGATGAATGACTGAAGCTATATGCGGAAGTAACAGTAGCAGTCGGTTACAATATGCTCACTTTGCTTTACCAACCACAATACAGCAGGTTAGCGATGCCTACAGACACAGTTAACAAGCCAACAACATTAGCTCCCGCAGCTCTACCTGCATTGATGAACTTTGGACTTGTCAACAGCTGCCACGAATAACCGGTGACACAACAAGCCATTAGTTTTGTCCTCCAAAAGCCAAACACTCCGTTTGCTTGCGTATTATAACTGTGTCTATTTCAAATGTAATGTATGACATTGAACGCAGCCCGTTATGTACCTCGAACGACTCATAAATTATTTCTCTCTGTATGTGATGCAGAGAACGGGACACAACCTGCACTTCTGGTTCAGTAGCGGTCCTGGCAAACGTAACAGATCTGTAAATACTCCACATGAGAAAGAGCAGTGACTGTGACCCATCCACGTTGTTTATCACGCTGACGTCAAGCGCTGCGTCACGTCCAGTCAACAGTCACTGAAGTAGTTTAACTGAATCACAGTGATAGATGTCGCCTCCCTTCGTTTGGGATGGTGTATTACACACACAAGAAAATCCTCACTAAAAAAGGCCAGTAAATTTAAGATATAAAAGGTATTAATGTAATATTATTAGGGCTGCAGCTAACTGCAATTGTGCCTTAATTCCTTGACTAATCAAAAGACTGTTTGTTCTATTAAATTGTAGAAAATTGTAAAAAACGCCATCGCAATTTTCTACAGCCCAAGATGTCTTTAAATATTAGTATTAGTATTGTCTTTCTAACGAAACTCAAATATGTTCAATAAAAGAGCAAAGGATCAAATACTCACACCGAAGAAGTCATGACTAGATCAACTAAATCAACATGGTAACATCAAAAGATGACAAGAGATTAACTTATTTATTTTTCATCTAATGGTTCGTCTCATCATCGGGAACTTTGTGAAGGTGAGTGAAGCAGACTACGGAAAGTAGTACCACAAATGAACATAATGGTTAGATTGGGTGTAGTGGAGCAAACTATACTGCCATCTTTTTTTATTTCTGATTATATTTCATAGTTGTCATAATCCACTTGGGCACACTCACATTACTGTGGAAGATGCATAGCTACAGAGGAGAACTGAAGGCCTCTCCTACCTGAGGTCTGATGACAGTGATGATAGGATGAAGCTGAAGCAGCGGATGTACAAGATGAACAGGTTAGGAAAGACAGGGTACCGCATCACAGACATGGTTAATTAGGCCTAAAATGAACCCATACCATATCCTCCATATCATATTCTGAAGGTTTTGAACTGGGTTATGATTCATCCACAGGCCCCTGCTGTGTGAACTGTCTTATTGGGTATGGTGTAATGACTATATAAGAATTTGCACTTAACCTGCAGTGTTTAAAGTACTGGTTGTATGTTGAGAAAAAGACTTTGCAATACTTCAAGTTTCCTGACAGTATAGAGACAAACATTGATGCATGAAAAAAGAAAAACCGACATAACAATTTTAGTTTCCATCCATTTTATTGAATTTATAGACTTTCAAACAAACTTGTACAAATTGCAAAACAGCTTTTGGTAACACCTCATTGTTTTCTTATTATCATTATTAGGAAATAAATTAAGTGAATAAAAAGTAAACAATGTGAAGAGAGAACATAGAAATACAACAGAAAGAAGAATACCACAAAGAGCAAAAAGAAAGAAAAAGAAGAGGCAACTGTTTTCCACAAAAAGTCAACTGCATCTCATTCGCAGTAGACTGAAGCTGAAGTGCTAACAAGGCTAATCACCGGTCAGCCAAATAGACAACGGAAGTACCTCCAACATTTTGTACTGGCATTGTAACGCAAAGCCCATCTTGAGCTGTCCAGTTTGAAATTGCAGCAATACAACATCAGATTTGTGCTACTTTGCACTGTAATACTGTATTTGCACACCAGGTGGCATCACTGTCACACAACAAAACTGGCTGGTCCTGCCACCCACTCCCAACTCCACCAGTGTTTTATATTCTGTGCCTGAACATTTTGGGTGATGGGAAAGGAGGGTGGCTGGCATTTTCACTATAAATCAACAGGATTATATGGGGGGAAATTATCTTGATGAGAACAAATAATAAATAGACCCAGGAAAACATCAATATCAGCTCTGTGTGAGAAGCGGCGTGTTTTTGTGTGGGTGTGGGGTTGAGGCACAGGGAGACATAACAGAGTGGAGGAATTGATCTCCACAGGGCGTTATGTTCGGTTATAGCGTGTCCACTGCCAGCAGCATCTCATTTAGCCTCTATAGTTCATACAAGCCAGTCTCTTCACATTCTTTGCAACTCACAGGGAGGTGCACTCTTTCATTGGTTAAATATACAAAATGTGCTTGTGCACAGCAACCGCAAAGTGCACTGCACAAGCTATAATGAGTTTGAACAGTTAAGCTGGAATATAAGAGATGCTGTTTGTGTCTACAGATTTAGCACTGCATGGAAATCTCAGTCTCATTGAAATACACTGGAAGGACTCTCTCTGCTTTTTGAGAGGTCAAGGCAAAACAAATTTTCAATCTCCATTTTGTTTTTCTTACACTGAAAAAGAATTCCTCGAACTCAAGTCACTTTGCCCCTCTACACAGAGAAGGCATTTCCTTACATGACACAGAACCTCAGAAAACCTCAAATGGAATTGGAAGTAAAACCACCAAAAAGATTATTTGTTAATAATATCAAAAATACCAACAAACAGGCAAAAAAAATAAAACAGATTGGTCACAGCAAATTTATGTACACATACACATTAAGAAAAGAGCTGTCAGTGGAGTTGGGGAGAAGGTGGGTGAGTGGGGAAGAAAGAGGAGAAAGACTTGGGCAATTAGATAAGCCCTGTATCTTTGCTATACAGGGGAGTTACAGGGGTTGCCATGATGGCAGACCAAGGACGGACAGGGTAAGAAGGAGCGGGAGAGCCAAGGCTGTATGTTCACCTCTTCTTGGGGGCTTGGGTGGTGCGGGGTGGGGTGACGGGTCGACCAGAATTTACACCACCATACTGGTACTTGGCCTTCTTCTCTGAGGGCTTTAGGATCTTCGGGACACAAACACAGACAGAGAGAGAGGACATACTGCATGTGTTAGTGCTTCTGAGATTTTGTGTGCAATATCAAAAGGCAATTAGCGTGAATGTACATGTTTTCACAGTACCTGGAAGGAGCACATGAGGGATTCATCGACGCTCATCATGCCGCCTGCATTGTCAAACTCCCCGCAGTAGTTTGGAGCAGAGAAAAGTGTGACCAGTTGGCGTTTGGCAAAGAACTCGTATCCATCCTCCACAACCTGTTAGAAGACACATGGCGTTATTCCAACGCCTACGGCAATCGATACTAAGAAACAGATCTTCGGCTAGTTTCAGACTCCAACTACGCTATCAAGGTTGAGTGTTCAAAACCACCTACACTTGAATCAATATGAAACTTCCAACGCAGAGCCAAAATAGCTGCAGCTAGTGCTTTAGTGCTAGTCGTTTAGTTGTTTAATCAATTAACAGAAAAGTTATAAATTCCAACTCTGATAATCGATTGTGTTTGGTCATTTATCAGGTAAATGTACTTGCTGCCTTGTGTTACAAATGAAAACAGTAGCTTTTCATTATTTCCATTTTTAAAAAAGCAAAAAAAAAAGAAGAAAAGATAATAACTGTGTGCTAAATAAAGTTAGAACAAATGATACATGGGGAAAAATAGACAAAATGGGAGCAGGAAATTGTGGGCTACACTGTCGCACTAGGTCTATTAATATGTGGTTGACTCGGGGATCAGTCTTTGTATCAGTCACAGTAATTACTTGTGCCGAAGAGACACAATCTAACGGAGGTGAGCTATCATTAAAGTGCATGGCCTACCGATTTCAAGCCCCTGTGAAAAAAAAACACTGTGCAAAATCAATTTGCTTGCTGTGTGCTTCTTGTGTCTACACTCCACATCCAGCCTCTCTACCTTAATTCCCATCGTAATTACCTGGTGGGCTCTGCAGATGAGGTCCAGGTCATGGCGGTTGAGGAACTTGCTGACCACGTCGGCCCCGAAGGTGAAGGAGACCCCGCGGTCGTTCTCTCCCCAGCCTTGTACATCCTTATCTGGGTCTGACCACAACAGGTCACACAGCAGGCCTGAGAGACACACACACACACACACACAGAGGAGAGGAGAGATGGGAGAGAAAGGGTCACATAAGTCACAAAGGAGATGAAAGAAGAGCATAGACAGATCCAGCTAACTTTGCTGATGTAAGACAGAAGATCAACTGATGTAATAGTTCAGGAAGAGAGGGGCTGGGTGTTTTCATTTAAAGGTAAACTTAAATTCCAAGCAGAAACCCAGGGGAAGTGAACATGTTCAGTTTCAAGAATGAGCATGCACCTAAGTACGTGCAGACACACACACACGCACGCACGCACGCACACACGCACACACACACCTGTATCAGGCACATCTGTTGGCCTCATGATCCTGCGAATCTGCTCCATCGACTGCAAATCAGGCGATAGTCCTGAAACAGAAATTAAAGATATTACCTTTGATTGGAGTTACAACAAATATATTTTTTTGAACAAAGCCATCAAAAAGCCACTGTTAAGATTTGGGAGAAGAACAAGAAATGAGTGCCAACAGTGGCTCTCTCACCTCCATGGCAGCAGAAGATCTTCTCATCAATAATAGCAGCAATGGGGAGGCAGTTAAAGCAGTCAGTGAAGGTCTTCCACAACTTAATGTTGAACCTGCGCTTACCTGTTGGAGCATGCAATGATATATTATTGTAACATGATTATATACATACGTCAGGGATGTTTGTGTGCAGGTTGAGTTTACTTCTACCCACACTCATCGTAGAAGCCGTAGATGCGGTTGATAGAAGCACACTCATGGTTGCCCCTGAGCAGGAAAAAGTTCTCTGGGTATTTGATCTTGTAGGCCAGCAGAAGGCAGATGGTTTCCAGGGACTGCTTCCCTCTGTCCACGTAGTCGCCCAGGAAAAGGTAGTTTGCCTCTGGAGGGAAGCCACCATACTCAAACAGCCTCAGCAGATCTGTGTACTGCCCATGGATATCACCTGAGGAGAGGATGTGAGGAGAGTCAGGGGGAAGACAAGGTGTTAATTCGACAGCTTACTGTAGAGGATAAAAGAACAGAAGAAAAAGAAGCAGAGATCATGAAAAGGTGCTAGAATATTGAATTTAACATAAAAGCTAATTGTCATATTCACCCCCAAGTATGCATACACATATACTCTTATCTCTCTGAAGCTTTTTTAATTTTAAGAACACACCCAGACATGTAGGTTGGTGGAGATGTATGACTGTGACTATGCTTTACTGGGACTGCAGCAGCAAGTGAATGGATGCACACACAAAAATGAGCCATTACAGTTGCCATCAGATCAATGCCCTGTAGCCCATGGGAAATGAGTGAGCAAGGGAAAGAACGCTTCGAATCCAGGCTAATCACAAAAAATAAAGGAAGCACATCCACACATCCGCAGAAACTAAGTTTAATTTGAACAGCTCTCCCAGGATTCAGGGTCACCCTCTCCTCTCTTTGACATCAGTCAGGCAGTGATGAGCTGGAGGCGCTCTCACCAAAGCATGGGATCTCTGCAGGGGAGCCTCACTTCATCACCTAGCCAAGACCTGCTTCCTTTTATATCCTCTTGCACCAACTTAAGAGCTGCTCTAATTTGGGCTAAGTGCTCCAGACCCAGATGACTGCAGAGAGCCTCGCCAGAATGGCTTGGACAATAATAACAGGCTTTATTGTGACCAAAAACGGAAAGCTAATTCATGGGCCACACTCTTTTTATGGCAATGCTTCATTACAAGATGGCACCAAATATAAATTAAAATGAAATAGGTCTTGTTAAGCTATGCAGCTGTCTGGCCTTGAGATTAAAATAACCAACAGAAATTGCAACTTTATGCTGGAGTCATGAGCGTGGCTGGCAGGGTTTTTCTATTTCATGGTGCCCGTCAGTGATCTAGGCACCAAAACGCAAACCACAACTGGCACCAACCAGGCCTTTTTTTTTTTTTTTTTTTTTTGCCTGGGTTCAAGGATGGCATGTAAAAGCACACTATTCTGTGCAAATGAATGATTAAACAAATAGTTCTGAATGTTTGAAGTCAAGCTCTGTCTTATACTCAGTGCTTATCTTTTCCAGTTGGATTGTTTCACCATCAATCTTTTTTTTTTTCTCTTCCTGGACAAGCAGCCCCCGCTTTCCATCTAGAGTTTTGATGCAAGTACTGGTAATGGTAGAAACTTCACAGGCCTTCACATTAATAATACAATATCAATACTTCAATAAAACAAGTTTTAAAGTATTAAGGCAGTGCTCCAACAACATAATCCAGGTCACTTATTTTAAATTTCACTTTTTAATAGGAGAGTGAAAAGTTGATGGTGGGTGGGGATCCCATGTGTCATGAGTATTTTACTAAAACATGAATTATCTTTGTTTTTATTATGATTTCAGTTTTGAAGCAAACGATTCTGGCACTATTTGAATGTTAGTCTGCCACAATAGCAAACTAGTCATGTCTTTGGGTATATAACAGTTTAGGTCTCCATTGTACAATCTAACCAATGCTGGCAACACATCTGTGAACTGCCAAAACCTACAAATACCACATAAAAAACAAGAAAACACCGACTTTGATCAACATAGATTTTTTTTGTCTTGGCAGTCAGAAAATGCGGTAAATACAGAGGACTGAGTAAACACCGAGGACATCACACAGAGAACAATAATTCTTGCTTGTGCCTGCAGCAAAACAAGAATGGACATGAAGCAATAAACAATTAACCTTGTTCATTTATGCTGCAATTTGCTCTGAAAAGCAAACATAGGAACAAAGCCACATTTGGATAATTTGGTAAACCCAGACACATGGCAACATAGACTGTAATCTCTGCAGCAACAGTTGGTGGTGAGTGAACCTTGTAACAGCACGGCTAAAACTTCAGCTGAGCTGTGGCTCTGTAGTAAAACCTGGATAAACTGGATTATAAAATAATGCTCTTTTATTCATGGCATACCAAATTATTTCTCAGCTAGTAGAGTGTTGTTTTTGCTTTTTTTCTCCTTCTCCCTCAGAATGATTTAACAGCCAGTATTTGAGTGTCTTCCTCCGGAAAAGAGACCTGAGCTTAGTTTTAGACCAACTACCATCAACTTCACACTAAGAGTTGTTGCATGAACTGGTGCAGTTATTGGTGAAGTTATTGCTGTGTACGTGAATTTGTGAGCCTCACCAAGACTTGCTCACCATTGGGTAGCCCCCCTGCCTGCCCTCTCTCACACAAGGAATTGTAGGATGACAGTGAATTATTTACTCAGCACTGCCTCTGCAGTGTCAAAACAGTCCGAGAATAGCAGCACAGAGATTTAGGGTTTAAAAAGCAGAGCTAAAGGTAGAAAGCTAAAAAAACAAAAGGAGCACTGAACTTCAGGTCAGTGTTTCAAATCAGCAAGATTCGTCTCAGAAAGACTAGATAATATAACAGCAAAGGTCATAACACAGCTCTACAATAATAAAAGTACACAATAGTGTATCTTATGCCACCCATGTGTGGTATTTAAATTGATTTTTTCATAGCAAAATATAGGAAATATTTTTACATTCATATTGCATTGCTGTTGTGTACTGAAAGGACAGGCTCATAGATAAATTAAATACTTAACGATTAGATAAAAAACAAAAAAATGCCTATGCCCTTACAATGTAAGGCCGTTATATTAGCATAGTACCAGTAGTATACACTGGTACTTAAGTACCAGTGTCCTAATGCGTGGCTGTAATCAAGCATGCTGTTGCATGACCTTGTGTAGTCAGACAATCAGCTGGCACCCACATAAAAATACAACCGTGACAGTGAGAAGAGCACTGTATAACACTGCTCAGAGCACTTTTCGAAGTGAAAACAACAAACACTGCTGACTGTCCATAACTGTAACATAGTCTGTCTTTGCTACTCCAGATGAAATGACACAAAAAACTGCAGAAATTCTATTTATGATATGAAAAATAATATATACAGTATTTTATTTCAAGTGTTATTTGAAACTTAAAAAGTTTACTTAATAAGAAATTAATACAGTTTGCCGACAATATCCTACTAAAATACAGCTGATGTAGTTAAATCTATTTTCGTATCATCAACTCAACAATAGGTATTTACCAATTTAGTATTGAAATATTTCAGGACAAATACACCAAAGTTGCTACAGTTAAGTCTCCTGCATCTGGAGCCACATGTGACCTTTCTGGCAGTGGATAAGCTTTCTTTCTCTGGACTCACTGTATACTACTCTCTACTTTCTCATTGTCTACTAACATTTGTAAAGATAAGTGATCAACTTTTCAACTTTTCTTAGAATAAAATCTAGTCAAATGGTCAAACAGTGATGCTGACTGATGCTGAATGTAAAACCAACTACAGTCAATGCATAGAAATAATCTAGTTTCAGCCTCTGAAGGTAATTTTGATCAAGAAAATAAGAGACCTATTAATTTAAGAAGAGGTTTACAGGTTTTTAAGTCTGTGTCCAACCCCATATCAACACTAAAACAGGTTTTTCTTACCATGATTATTCCTCCTGTTCATACTGGCTATTAACAAATCCCCTCTAAAAAAGTGATTTCAGTGGAAGTGATGGGGGACAAAATCCAAAGGCCTTGTAAAAATTGTATTCAGAAGTTAGTGTGAAGCTTAAATTATGCTCGAGCATTCTGAGTTGGGATTTCATCAGATCAAGCAGGTATCTTCCAAAGTAACAGTCGTTTTAGAACAAAATTCCCTATTTATGTTTCCCTGGACGGTGTTTTCATGCTGATGTGCAGTGAAAGGACTGCAACAACATAAGGGAACTTTGTAGCCTATCCTTTAACTTTTGCATTTGAAAACATCGTAGTACATTCTACAATGTTTTCATCTCTTTCTCTTTAGCCTGCGAACTGTTTGTGCTACTTTTCAGTCAGTACTTGTAGTCAAGAGAATAATTAAAAGGCATTCAATTCAACTCAGAAATAACACTGCTGACAGCTTAAATGATAAATGTTACCACAGAATGCAAAACTACACACAAACAGTAAAAACAGAACAGCCATGCTTGTGGTCTTTCTTCAGCTAATTCCACACACCAACGAATCGATTACACTTGTTCTAAATCAGTAAGGTTCTATTATGGTTAACATGTAAGTGCTTGGTCATTTTGCAGAGGATTGTGATTACAGGGCACTGTTAATCATGATCGTCTGTCCAGATTATTTTAGTAGCCAAATTACAATCTAAAACATCAACTCACATCAGTTTGATTGTTATTATTAGTATTATTGCACAAGGAACATCATTGTCAACAACAGTGTTGGAAAATCCAAATTTATATTATTCTGTTTAGATGAATAAGAAAAACAAACGCTAGCAAAAGATGCTGGCAAAATTGTGCCAGCAGCATTAAGGTCAACATGTGAGCAAGAGAGTAAGCGCAGAACCTGATCCATGTGACCTTAGTAAATAATTAAAGGCATCCACTGTTAGGTCTTTATAGTCTGTGATGGTGCTCACAGCCATGGGTTAAAGGCGAGTAATCAGCCTGGGGTTAAAGAAGCAGCAACAGAACAAAGAAAGTAAAAGAGAGACAAAGAAACGTCACACAGTGACAAATAACACCACCTCATACTCATGCATATTTTAGAGTAATGTGCCAGGGTTAGGTCCAAATGGATAAAGGCACTCCAGGCCTTTAAAACCAGTTATTCTGATCACTGTAGTGTCAAACACATGGATAACATCAGTCTCTCAAAATTCAATTTGACAAGAAACAAAATCTAATTACTGCTTCCTATTACCATGTTTATCACTTAAAACACAAATACAGCCATCAGAGGTTGATACAATGTGAGGGCTACATAACAACAATCAAACAAAGTAAATGTGTGTGGGAGGAAACTGGCATGAGGAGCGGCACAACTGAAGTACATTTATGCACCTGAGCATGTACAGTATATGAGCTTGTGCGCTGTACTTTCAAGGACTGGCACATATATTAGACCGCTCAGAGTTGGTTGCAGTTGCAGCACTACACTGGGGGAAGAGATAAAGCATGTGGGAGTGTGCTGAGATGTGCAGGAGCCTGCTAGAGATAGTGACAGTGGTAGCTAATTCAACTGCTGAGAGGGCACTAACTTGCGCATGTGAGGTTCTTTGCTCTACTTGGGTTTGTCTATGTTATGTGTGTAAGACAGTGATACAAAATCTCTTCTATTCCCCTACATGTATCCTTCTGTAACATACACAGGCCAGTCAGAGAATAACAGTGACTTAATATATGACCCAGACTGAGGCACTGTTATCCCGTCTTGTTACATAAGTAAACTCTGCGTCAAAGAAATAGATTGCTGCTCTGGGCTGAGCAACCCAGCCTGTGCTCTGCAGAGTGGGAGTTTGCCACTGGTGCACCCGACCCTTCAGAGTCAGAGCTTTCTGTTTGAGTTGCTCTTCAAAAATTAAGATTGCGTAGCCGTTTGATATTTGTCAAGGGTTATAGGCATATGTTCAAGCTGTATACAGTACTTGTAAAATCAATTACTGTACCACAGAAAAAAGCAAATGTAGAGAGTGCTGAAAGATGCTTATAAAAAGCGAAGAGGCTTTTGTGTTTGGTGCACAGTTTGTAGGCACTAGGCATGGCCATTTCTTATGTCTACTATAGCCTGCCATTACCTTTCATATGATTAATTGCTCACTTGAAGTGTAGTATGTCAATTCCAGCAGTGGGGGAACTGCACAGTGGAACTGCACACATTTTCTGGAATCAGTTATTTGGCTGGCAGCTAGTGCTTGTGTTGTAGTACTGTTTTTCATTTATTTATTTATTTTCTAAGACATTATTTTCAGATTATGCTTCTAATTTTCCTCCCTGTGCTTGTAAGCATCTCAGTTTATAAGGGCTTTAAAGACACAGTAGAGTACGTTACACAGCACAGAGGGAAACAAGAAGAAAAAGATGAACAAGCAAGTAAACAAGCAAAAATAAGCTTGTGGCTTGAGGTGGTGAGAAAATGACCTGAAACAAAGGCAGAAATACACAACACTGACCACAGATCTTCAGGGGTGCCTCAAGCTCCAGCAGGATGGGCTGACTGAGGAAGATCTCCCTGGATTTGATGCAGAGGCCCCGCACCTCTGCCTCGGTCATCTGGACTATCTTCCCCGGACGACATCCTCGCACTGAAGAGACAAGACAAGACACAGTCAGTGCTATACATTTTAATCATCATTGTAAGCGTTAATGCAGCAACTCTGTAAAACCCCAACACCACAAAGTTCATCAGAATGAGGTCACGATAGAATAATTTTTCACCCAAGGGGGAAAAAACTGTTGTGGCAGAGCCACAAAGCAATCTTAAAATCTGATGAGCTGTGGGCGTAATGGTTCTGTAGCTTATAGCTGCTAAGTCTCAGCCATACTTAAAAAACCCACTGCTTAGACTAGGAGAGCAGCTTGCATCTTCAGCAGTAGTGTGGGTTTATTGGCTGTGTAGTTGCACTGTTAGCTTAAGCCTGCTTTCTGGGGTTCTGCCACAGCTCTGGGTGCAGATTTATCTTATACCAATGAAAAGAGAAGTGAGAATTGCAAACGTTGGCCACAGTCAGCAGTTGAAATAGTAAGAGATATGAAAAGTGAGAATATATATAAAAACTGCTTCCTCATCATATTACCTGGAGGCCAGAGGATATGCCTAAAGCTAAAGCTTCATTTATTTAAAAAAAAAATCTGTGTCTTTATTTGTTTTATTTATGTTTTGTGTGTTTTATTTCAGTTTTAGACAGCCTGGTTGGTGCAATGCCTCTTAAAGATGGCATCAAAAGAGCACACAATCAGTCACATGGCATCATAGCTACACAACAACAAACTAGTGCTAATGGTAAACACAAGCTGACATGCAAATTAATGAGTACCAGGCAGAGGAATGGTCTTATAATACTGATATGATCAATTGTTCCCTGACACTTTAATTATACACAAATTGTAAATGGTAACTGGATTGCATTTACATAGCCTTTTTAACTGGAGTCTTGTTTGACGTCACTGCGTGAAGATGAACCATTGACGATAGAAACAAAAGTGATGAACAAATCCTTGACTGAGGAATTATGTAATAACTAACCATTTTGGTATTGCCTTAAAGCTTGACGCCCACTAAAGGATAGATGAGCCGGGTGAAACAAATGCGTCTTAGTCAGAGAGCAAGTTTTTTTTTTTAAAACCCTTTTCCCCCTTGTCTTTTTGTTGCCTTAAAGCAGGGGTCCCCAAACTACGGCCTGTGGGCCACATCCGGCCCGCCAAAGCAATTGGAGTGGCCCACTTAACGATCCCAGACAATCCCTCTAAACATCAACCAATTTTTATCAAATTGCATTTTCCTATCATAACATCATAACATATCCGTACTTAAAGGTTGGCATTCTAATTAAAATTGACCATAGTTATGAGCTATTTATAGTTAATAGTGGCTCATCTTCACCTCCTCACACAATGGTATATTCTGACGTGACTTTGATCGTGACCGAGCCAGCGTCAAGCTGCAAAGTTCTGAGGTGGGAATCTGTCATGAAGGTGGTTGTGTCCTGCATAAACTTCATCAGAGCAAACGGACTTAAACACAGGCAGTTCCAAGCCTTTCTCTCCGAGCTAGAATCAGCCCACGGAGACGTGCTTTACCACACTGAAGTCCGCTGGTTAAGCCGGGGCAGAGTTTTGAAGCGTTTTTACGACCTGCTACCCGAAATCAACGCCTTTCTCCTGACAAAGGGAAAAACTGTCCCAGAGCTGATCGACACAGAATGGAAATGGGACCTCGCCTTTATTAACAGATGTGTCAGAAATTTTAAACGGCCTTAACTTGCAGCTCCAAGGCAAGGGAAAACTAATCTGACATGTATTCCCACATCAAAGTATTTGAGCTTAAACTAGCGCTGCTTATTGGACAGGTGCAAAAACAAGACTTCACCCATCTCCCTGCTACTCGAAGCCTCTCAGCTGAGAAACCGGGCGGTCCGTTCCCAACCGAGAAGTGCAAGGACGCACTGGAAAAGCACTGAGGGCGGAGTTCGGTGTGGCGGTTCCCGTGAGCTTCAATGTCCACGGTTGAAAGAAAATCCGCACATTCCAGAACCCTTTTGCTGCCGGACATTGAAGGACAACCTTCTGGCCTTCTCTTCAATTTGAGCTGGCTGAGTTGCAGACCTGTGATGTTGCTCTTGAAAAAAGGGACCGTAATTCAGCCCACAAAGTCTGATAAGTACTATTGCTGCCCTCCCATAATGAGACCTACCCCACATAAGAAAAGCACGCACAATAGATGCCCAACAGTTTTGGGAGCAATATATCTGTGAGCAAACGTTTTTCACACAATGAGCGCTGATAAAAATTCGACGAGATCAAGTCTCAGCAAGATCAACCATCACCCTGCTCATCGTCCTGAGACTGGCCTGTAACTGTGAAGTGGAACCTGACATCGATCTCCTCACTCAGTCAGAAGCAGCCCACAGCTCACACCGTATATGGTAAGCAACTGATATCAATAGTCAATTAGATATTATAAAAAAATGTTATTATAGTAATTGCTCTTTTATAGGCAACATGTTCTGACCTGATCTTTGACCACTTATTCTGTATTAATATTATTTCACTACCTGTAAAGACAAGAACACTTTACCGTTTGTTAAACTCAAACTGTACCTGTTTACAAATCACATTCACCTCATCTTACTGAAATTACCCATAGTTTGGTGCCCCACCCCCCGGCACAGGCATTGCGCCCAACAAGCAGAGCTAGCCGTCCGCCGCGGGCCTCGGAGACGTTTAATGAGGCATCCCTTCCGAAGGGAGCGACTTAGAAGCCTGGGGCTGACATATGTTACTCAGCGTGACGAGCTGAGTCCGTAGACACCAAATTTGTGGACTTTCGAGAAAATTTTTGGGAAATTATTAAAACACAGAATTTAACCGTGTCCCCCGGCAGCATATGAGAGACCGCCCATGGCGGCCCTTCGGAAGGGAGCGACTCAGAAGGCTGGGGCTGACATATGTTACTCAGCGTGACGAGCCGAGTCCGTAGACACCAAACTTGTGGACTTTGGACAAACTTTTCCGTTGTGACATTCACACTAGTCTTAATGGTGTGGCACCTCAGCATATGAGAGATGACCCATGGCGGCCCGTTTGTGTTGTTATTTTCTATAAAATAAATGGAGTATCTGTGGTACTTCAAATAAACACATGTGAAGACTTTTTATTACTTTTTTTGGCAAATCAACAGGTGGTGCCAAAGCCAAACGAAGGGCAGCTACAACAAATTATCATTGTAATCTCCACAATAATACTGGTTGTCACCCTGGCCCATATCATTTCCTGTTATAGACTAACCTCGGCCCCCCATCTCAGAAAGGAAAGTTGATGTGGCCCCCACTGAAAAAAGTTTGGGGACCGCTGCCTTAAAGGATGACAAATTATAGAATGGCCAAACAGGGAGCAGTTTGAAATGGATTAACTGGTGTATTGGTGATGAATTCCCAACGCATAGTGAATGCATTTTTGTGCATACATAAACGCACACGTGTACACACACATGCTACTTACACACTACACTCAGACTACATCATTGTCACTGTCTCATTAGTCACGTAATCCAACCAAATCTGAGAGAAGAGAGTGAACCAGAGGAATATGGATCCTCACAGACGGTGAATCTGTGAGCCAAAAACTATTCTAGGGCTCCACCAGCCTTAATTAACTGTTGCTTTACGCCATCAATTTTCTTTATCACCCATCTACTGTAGCTGCACTCCTTCACATCCATGTGCTGCGCATAGTGTGAAGCATGAAATTGCAGAAGTAGGGCTCTTCAGTCAACGGCCAGGCCTCATCAGAGCGGAGTGAGTTAAGCTTGGATGCTTAGCCTGCTCGGCTTTAACACTGAACCATTCACTGTTCGCACTTCTGCAGGCTGGCACTTTTAAAAGAGATTACGTTCTTAAGAACATTGAGGGGCAAAGGCTAAAATGAAGCAATGACAAGGATTTGCCACCATCATAAATCAAATCACTGTTTGTGTGTGTGTGTCTAATTGTGTGATTGTACACGTGTCTGGAGAAAGCGACACAGTGTTTCTTAAGTTTTAATTCCAAAGAATAAGCACGCTCACTGACACTTGGGTTTCCTCAAGACTGCATTTTCTCAGACAGCAAAACATACAGTAAGCTATTATTTGATGTTTGGATGCAGAATGAGTCTTTTCAGATTTTCTCGTTTAGAAATTTCGCACTGGAGAATTATTAGTCTCTTGATATGGTACGTATGTACTGAGCATAAGGAAATACTAATGACTGTGTTTCACACCAAAACTGATTTTGTTACATCTATAATTATATTATGCCCATGAAAAACAGACAGGACTTTGTGGGAAAACATGTAAAGCTAATAAAATAATTCTCTTATTAGAGGGTCACACAAACCTAGAGTAAAATACTGAGAAAATAAACAAGACAACAATGAAACATACTGACAATTTTAAAGCCTGTTTTTCATCTGGGCTAAAATGCAGAGTGGATTTGAGATCTAATGATTATTATTTTTATCAGTGACCTCCCCATTACTTTCCTGATTATTCATTTGGTCTGTAAAATGTCAGAAACTGATGAAAAATGCCTATTTCAGTTTGATAAGGCCCAAGTTAACATCTTCAAATAACAACTTCAACAGTCCAAAACCAAAAAGCTTATTGATGTAATGTCACATGAGACAAAGACAGGCAGCAAATCCTCACACTTGAGAAAATGGATCTAGGATTTATTTGGTATTTAAGCTTGAAAGAATGACTCAAACTCGTTGCTGATTAATTTTTGGTTGTGAGACTAGTAAATTAATAATTGTAATCATTTCAGCTCTGGCACATTTTCCTTGTTAGATTCACTGAACGTTTTAGAATAAAAGTTTTCAGACCAGGCACAAGACCACAACTTTATTTTCTTGCATTTATTCCCTTTGGATCCAGACTTTATTAATAAATATCACAGCCTCTCATACAAATCAACTAGTAAATACTTCTGCTCTGGTGGTGGAATTTCACTGGTAGTCATTTCTTGTAGGGAGACAACCAACATAGAATCTGGGATGCAAGACTTGTTTTCTATTTGGCATTTATAATACTCCTAAATGATGTGCTCATTAGGTTAAATTTCATCATACAACACCAACAACCCATACTTGATTCTAACTCTTTATTAAGTTCACACCACTAACCACAAAGCTGAACAATTATGTAAGAAGCCTGTGGGATGATAAGATCTAAATCAATTAGTCATGTGCAGTCACTTGCTTTATTAGCGTGATAAAAGGAGAGAGACACCATCACCACTGTACACCAACAAGATCACAACAAAGCTGACCACTTGTGAGAGACGCCTATGCCAAGTCCAACTTGTATCAGAAATATGAGCAACACAATCAACAAGTCACCACAGTCTGAGCTAAGTGCCGAGGGAATCACAGCGTGTGGAGGACCAACAAGCCTTCTAGATGAGAAAAATGGCAAGCCACAAGTCGCAGTCACTAGCTGTCAAATAGCAATTACCGCAAAGCTTCAGATGACTGATGATCATGATTGTGTAACACTACAGACTTATGTTTCACAGTTGAGAGTGGAAAATGGGCAAGAAGTTGATTGCAGGCAGTTAAGAAATGTTATTTATTTTCAATTATTTTGACCATGTAGGAGCTATGTTAACTCATTTAAAAATTAAACTGCAAGAAACACAAGGCAGTTGCAGAGTGACAGCATTTTCCAGCAATAATTATAAATACCAAATCTTAACATTTCAGTGCTGGCATAGTGTTTCATCTCCAACAGAGTCGCAGATACTGCTGGAAAGTGTGCCAAGGACAGCTGAATTTGCCTTAGTGGTCTGGTCTGACTCAAAGGAGATCTCACAGGGGAACAGAAAACTCCCCGCCTTCTCTATGGAAGGTGGACAGCCAACACAAAAGGATTTTTGCACATCCCTATCTCTGCCAAATTCAAAAACCTGCTCCACACGCCCCAACAAAAATTCCTTTGATTTACCAAGTACAAAAGCAATTATGTGACTGTGAACACAGCAGTGCAAGACAATTAGTTTAACCTGTAGATATGAACAATTTTGAGAACAGGTCAGAGAAACACATGGTGCTTCTTCTACCTCTTCTAATTTTGCAATGTCCTACATTTGTGCATTGTTACTCACCTGTACTAACAGACTGACAGTGAAAGTGTGTGCATCATGGGCCCTGTGTGTATGAGTACACTGAATCACAGCAACCTGCCCACTAAAACACACCTACAAACCCAGTGAGGAGTGGGCAACACAAGGTAAAATTGCCTTACAGAAATTATACTACCTTACAAGTCAAATTTGTCCAGGATGTAGTGATAAAAACATTCAATATGTGATGAAAGGATTATGTTTATATTTGAGCTTTAATCTTAAATACAGGTCTATTTCTACAGTTGCTTTATCTGTTGAGAGATTCCTCTTCGCAATAATGTGATATTAACCAGGTCACTATCAGAAATTGAACGACAACTCTCAGTACCGCGGATATGGAGCAAAAATTAACCGTGTCAAGGACAAGAGCACTGCTGAACATCGGTGTTGATGGCTTAGGAAAAAAAACTTAACCTGCGTGATCGATGCGAACGTTAACGCCATGACCAATGATTCTAGCTTTGATATTAATGTTACTTCGAACAGGACAAACGTCCCAGCCCCTCCTCGATACATACCAACCGTACATAATATGGCAAATAAATGAGCCAGAATACAGCGAAAAAACACAAGGCAGAAAGTTAAATTACATGCTAAAGTAAAGACCACGACACGATAAAAATAAGTTGCCAAGGGTAACGTAGCTATTACTGCGAAAACTGAGAAATGTAGGCGTTTACCGCTGACAGTGTTTATAAACATGGCCAGCTAACGGTAATGTTAACCAGAGCTAGCCTGGGATACACCGTTACGATTGGCTGACGTTAGCCCCACTAGCTAACACTTTCCTGCGTTTTCTGAGGCAACCGCGGTAGTTAAAGAATAAATCTGACGCCGGGCTTATTGAACCCAAACCGCTAACTCTGTACAATGCTACAGACTGTGATAAAGTTGTTCACCTTCCAGGAGCCGAGAGATGAGGCTGTCCACGTTCAATTCACCCTCCGCCATCTTCAAACTGATGTTGTACAGTGTGGGCCGGTTCGATTCTCCCTCACAAACACCAAGAGGCGCTGTTGTCAAGAAAACAGTAACGGTAGATGATGGAGTAACTACTTTACACCCACTTTTTTTTTTTAAATGACCTAAAATACAGGCGTACTTTCCCTTGTGTCTGCAGTGGTATTCAGAATCCTTTACCTTTACAAGAAAAATGAAACGAATAAAATCTTTAAAATCTTAAACTACTAAAGAGTTGTCAGCAAAGTGTACCTCTGCTGTAAGAGTTATTACACTCAATGGCCATTTTATAAGGGACTCAGGTGCTATCTGTTGCATTTCAAACTGAAACAGGCCTGCCATAAATTCTACCTTTACAAAGTTTATAATGATTTTGCACACACTGTTGGATGTGTATAAATTCAAGTATATGCTTACTGCATAGTATTAGAAACACTTCTTAATATAATGCAGTTCACTAAAACATCATCACTGTGACCTCAGTGCTAAAAAAAAAAGAAAACCTGAATATTATAGGCATTATAAATAGTTGTATTAGATTCTATGTAAGGTCATTATATGATTGGATTATTATTACTAATGCAGAAAAATGTAAAAACAAAAAAATGCATTTGAATGTTATTGCTGGTCCAAGTGGAGCTAATTTGAGTTTAATCTGTACCAGTGCATTGTGTTTTATAAAGTTATAATGAAAGTGAAAATAGCAGAAAATGCACTTTCCACTACTGTGTGTTGATGACTATTATCAGAAGCAGTCGGTGGCTTTTATCATTGTAAGGAGGTCATAAAATAACCTTTTATGTTTTATCAGTAGGCTATATCATTGATAAAGCTAATAAATGCTGGCTGATGTGTGCTATGCTCCAAAAGTAACTTATGCATGCACGGTTTGGGTTATTTATGATGTGGTGACATTCTACATTTCACGTGTATCTAAAATAAATACCATTAAGTTGTAATGGTGATGATTTCCTGGACAGGCAGGCTACATCATCAGCCCAGGACTGGTTGACGTCCGATTTTACAGATGTCACTTGAGCAGTCACACCAGATAACAGTTTATATGAATTATTGCAAATTATTTATTGTAAGTTACAAAAACAAACAAAGCTACAATCACAGGTGACAAGGTTATTTAAAAAAAAATTCAAGAATGTTTAATTATATTGTCTTTTCTATCAAAGTTTATCATTGCATATAATGACAACACACCTACAACAAGTGTACTGTTGTTACATCCAGAAAGAGTAACTAAGTACATTTCATTCAAGTACTTAAAAATTTGAGTCGAGTATTGTGTGTGTGACTCCATTTTACATTACATACATTTTCACAGTAATAACATTAAACATACAACAGCAGAAAACTTCCTGTGGTTGATTTATATTGGTTGTAGATTGTCATTTTTCATTAAGTCAGTTGTTAGACCAGCTACAACATTTAAATACACCTTCCTGGTTGATGCAACAGTGATATAAAAATGTGAAGGGAACCATCCTTCATGAGTACTAAATACTCTAACACAATTACAATAAATTTTTTCCACCCTTTGACTTCTGTAAGGTTTAAATCCAAGACTTCACTAGGTTATCTTATTTACTGCTTTACTTAAGACCAGTGTACCTTTTCCAATCTCTGCATCCACTCACATTTTCTGTGGTTCTAGGAAAATAATTATCTTCTCTAGACAGTGCAGATGTCATGTCTTATGAAAAACTGCCTTATCACCACAAACAATGTGCTTTCTACAATCACTTTAAACATTGTTTTGTATTTTTTTTTCCTCAAATAGTTCAGCACAAAAATACAGTAAGTAGCACTTTAAAACACAGTGCCATTCATCTCCACTGCAGCCGTCATTTTCCTCTTGCTTCTCTTGGCTCTGCAGGAAAGGAGGAGCCAGGTGACACCCCAGCCAATGAGAAGACCAATAACTGCCAGCACAGCAGCGAGCCATACTGGCACGCTGTCCAAGCAATCAGAAGTGAGAGGCAGGGCTGTGCTGTGCGTTGTGGGTGCTGGGGTGGGGGTGGTGGTGGTGGTGGTGGAGGTGAGAGGAAAGGTGGTGCTGTCGGTTTTAGGTGCTGTAGTGGTGGTCGAACTGGGCAAGCTGTTCGCCTTTGTGAAGATGTATGGATGCTCCTGGAACATAACATTAAGAAGGCCATAGACTAAGTCAAATTCACTTGCATGGACCATGTCATTATGCACAAATTGTACAGACAAAATCACAACTGGGTCAGCAGCAGCATGTGAGGGGTTTTTGTGCGGCAGCTTTCTTACCTCAGTGGGGCATTTGATGTTATTTCTGGCGTTTGTGAAATTGTTGTACGTCTGTTTTTTACCCACTGGCTCCAACTAGAGATAAAACAGAAATACATCTTTCCTCAGTTCATGACCAAACTGCAGTGAGACGTGGTAATTTAGACCATCCAAAAACCTTCCACTGTCCAGCTCAATTAGCCTTTCACCATCCCGCCTTGCCAGACTCACCATGTTATTCCACAGAGCTGTAGCCATGTCAGCATGTCCACGCTCACTGAAGTGGAAACAGTCTTCAGAGAAGTAAGTAGTATCAGGTCTGCCATCCTGGAGAAGAAAACAATACAGCATCAGTGTCTGTACACTGAGGGGAAGGGCTTGTTACTGAGCTACAGTATATGTTTTTCGACAGTATATGTGGAGAGTGGAGGGGGGTGTTCGGGGTGGGAGATAACTTACAGCATTCAAAGGAACGATAGAGTTCTGAAAAAAGGGCTGTACAACCACAGCAAAGTCCTCTCTGCCGTCATAGCGGCCTCCGTACACCAGATTTTCTGTCTCAATCTGAAAGAAAGACCACAACATGCTGTTGTTATTACAGCTAATGTAACGATCCTGTCTCAACACTCACTGTTCTAGTCAATTAACCTGTAGTTCTCGATTGATCCGTTTCACTTCAGCCAGCTCTGGGGAATCCTCTCCGGGCAACAAGAAGCATGGGCAGACATACCTGAGGATCAAAGGTGAAAATTAACAGCTGATTTTTGAAAATAAAATGCTTTCATGAATGTTGAATCATCACTGTTTTTGGATGAGCTAGTCCTTTATTAAATAGCAAAATGTTATATATTTCTTTGCAGATAGACAAGGTATAAAATCAATATTAAGACAAGTGCTGATGAGTCAAGAGACCAATCCCCCCCCCCCCCGGACTCAGTGGTCTTGGTTCATGTAGAACTGATTTGGCATGAGTGGATCAATGAGCGTACTTTTGTAACACACTGCACCCAAGACTATCCCTTTTGATCCTGCGAAGACCTTCAATCTCCAGGATCTCCAAGACGTTAACTATCGTCCTGGGAACCTGTGGCCAAAAGAAAGAGTTTCAAAGAATTCAGAATTCAGAATTGATCCTTTTAGGCATCAATGAAAAGTGAACCTGCGTTTTCAGTGCAGGATCTCTGAAAATATTTTAAAGCTTCCATTTTTTTTAGAAGATAACAGCTCTTTACCTCTTTGTACAACATGTCCAGGCTTGTCATCATATGATAGCTGTAGTTCTGAGGTGACAAAGAGGCCTGCAGTTTTGGAACACACAATGTACAAGGCTATTTATTAATTCATAGTGAGCACATGTACACATAAGCCCACTTACGCCTTTTTGTTGTGGCCAGTAAAAAGCAGAATAATTAAGGCACATTTGGGGGAAACTTGCCAGGTTTGTATCTAAAAAGCCCATTTCATCCAAAAGAGCCAACGTCATGCAACATGTATGAGTGTGCACGCAACAACTAACCCTAAGCTGTCACTATCACAGTCTCAGGGGCTCATCTTAAATTGATGCTGGGCTTTGATATTCTGCTTCAAAGCACAAAACATTAAAAGAGTGGAGTGAGTAATGGAGAGAGAGAGCAAAAAAAAAAAAGAGGAAGGCGGGGGGAGAGGTTTGGAGGCAAAATGAGAAAGGAGAAAGAAAGAAAGAGACGGAAGGAGTGAGACAGAGACAGGATGAAGAGAGTCTGGGTTGACTTCTGTGTTGTTTATGCCTCTTAGAGAACAAGGCCTGTCACTGTGCCCCGTGTGCTTGTTTAATGCAGACAGAGGCTCAGATAGAGGAGGGGTGTGTGTTTTGTGTTGGAGGGGCAAAGTGACAGTGAATGTGCTCATTGAAAAGAAACCATGTCTGCTCTCATCTCACTCTGACACAATAAAACAATTAGGGGAGGGCTGCTCACAAAGCTTGATTATTCTGCTCCAGTGCTTAGTCCCATTTGGAGAGTGATATCATGAGACAGCTCTACACAACACGGGGCATCGCACAACCACTGCAGGATGTTTAACCACCATCCCATGGTAGGAGATTTACTTAAAGCGAGTGCTTTGAAAATGTCCTTCATCCGTTGGATCATCCTGTATTTCCTGTGACGGCCTCTTAAAGCAGCTCACCCGGTCGTTGCAGTACTGACACAGGTCATTGCCTCCAATGAAGAGGGTCACCAGCTTCCAGTCATTCTGGAAATCCACTGACTGTTTTCCATTAAATGGATGCACAGAGAATAAAAGAGACAGACATAAATAGATGGAACAAAGATTACATTTTTTTGTTTATCATGTACATTATTTTAACATCATTTGTGGTCATGAAATTAGTGGAAATGCGTTTGAATCTGTTAATATATGATCTCCTAAACTCACAGAGTCATTCTTAATGGTATCAATCAGACGTCGGACCTGCCCTGGGATTCCTCTGTAGAAAATTAGAGGTATTCATGAGTGCACAATATCTCTGAAAGCGAACGATTTGATCCTGAAAACAGATCAAAGAAATGTTACAACTCACGATATTTTAGCCCCTGTTACAGCCATGTTTAAGCCAGTCTGCCTTTTCCCTTGTCCCTTTGACACTCCTTTGATTTTAGGATTGAACTTCTTAAGGATATCTGATGTAAAAAGAAAAAAAAGAAGAAGAAGAAGGGATATTACTGCACAAGAAAGGAAATTTGTTTGGAATTTGTTACAGTCCAAATCT